AAAAAAAAAAAAGGTTTATTTAAGCATAGAAAAACAGACCAGAGGCGTGTATGTGTGTTGGGGGTGTGGGGAGGTGAGAGGATTCACCAGAAACAGAATGGGGAGCAGAACTGGCTATTGACTGAAAGACACTGCTGAGGGAAGCAGTGGCAGGTCAGGACAGGTCTGCCTTGCCATATGGGTCAACTCCCTGGCCAGTGATGGAACTCTTGATGCAGGGTCTTCCTATAGCTTCACAGTGCCTTACACCACCAGGGAGAGCCCCTGTACATATTTGAAAAGGTAGCATGTGCTACTCTGCTATGTTATGAACATTATAATAATACAGGAATGTCAACTTTAAAAGGAACAGATGAAAGGTGCAATAGAAAGCTTACATTTTCTTCTTGCACCCTGGAGAAGGGGACCTCACCGTTTTAGAACAGGTTGCGGTTTTAGAGGAGAGTTTTTTAAAAATTCACTTATTTATGCGTACATGAACTGGGGTGTACAGGGGATTTAATGAGGCTTTGTGGGAGTTCCCAAGTAATCATTAAGACCTTAGTTTTATTTTCTTCCTAAGCTTTGAGGTCAATCAAAGGCAGCTACATTTTATTTTTATTATTTTTTTTTACAAAAGTTTATTTTTACATCATTTTGTATTTTTTCCCCATCTCGATTGTAATCCCCGCGGGTTTCCCATCACCAAATCACCCCTGTGCCACCACCATAGTCCCGTGCATTTCCCTCCCCCCCCCCCCCCGATTTTGATCCCATTCCCCACTCCGCCCCCGCAGAATGTCTCTGGTATATGGTTGTTCATTATTTTTGTTATTTTCTCGCCTGGTCCATTATACTCCTGCTATGAGTGAAACCATCCGGTATTTTTCTTTCTCTTTCTGGCTTATCTCACTAAGCATGATCTTTTCCAGCTCCATCCAAGTTGGGCAGCTACATTTTAAATTGGAAAATGCTGAGTAATTTCACAGGTGAAGTCACCTAATCATTAATTTTAATGTAACAGAATCTTGCACAAAAGATTTACCCTAAGAAATAAGTCACACTGTAAGAACACATTGTATAAATTTAGAAAAAAGAGAAAAGAAAATATGCTTTGTTGTATTTATAGCAGTATTAACTGGAATGAAATCCCCCTACCCACCCCAGGATACTTTACTTTTTTACCTGTGAAAGAATTACCTTCTTTGTAGAACCTTCTCCATACTAAAAACTAAACTTACTTTTTCACATAATTTCCTTATTTGTTTGCAGTCGTCAGGCATAAAATCTCTCTGAGCTGTCTTTTGCTGTTCTGTGTTCTGTGAATGGTGCCTGGGTGGCTTCTTGTCTGTAAGGAAGCTTGGGTGTTTCAGGGATTGATTCTTTGCTTTGTATGATAAGGAACCCTAGTTCTCAGCAGACAGGCTGTTTGCACATCAGAATGATGGCATCAGTAGATGAAGGTAAGTAATAGGTGTTGATTGGAGAAACATGGGAATATATAGAAAATCTTACAGCCAAGACTTTTTTTTGCACATAAACTTCTTTTCCTCCCCCCAATTGACAGCTGATTTGGGGATATACTTGCTGGTTCAAAGCATGGAGGCCCCAGTCTGGTGAGTGTCAGGCCCGGAGAGGCGGTGCCTCTGAACATGACTCTTGAGACTGCAGTGTGACCTGGCAGGTCTGGGGTTGGGCTGCGGGACTGCGTGCTGAGCTGGTGGAGCAGAGAGAGGGCAGTCTGGAGGAGCCTACACTTTCTGAGCAGTTGTTTTTAGTGGGCGTTCACCTCCTCTTTTACAGACGTACTTACAGCCCAGGTCAGCAAGTTGAAGAACCTGGATCCTAGTCGAATGCAGATGCCACAGGGGAACCCACTGCTGCTCTCATACACCCTGCAGGAGCTGCTGGCCAGGGACACCGTGCAGGTGGAACTCATTCCTGAGAAGAAGGGACTGTTCCTGAAGCATGTGGAGTATGAAGTTTCCAGCCAGGTAATGGGCAAATCATGGGGGCTAGAGGGCTCTGGGACAGGAAGAGGACTGAGAGGACAAAGGGGTAGGGTACTCAGCTTCAAAGTGCTACCCAAACCAGATGGCAGAGAGCCAGGTTGCCCAGTGAGCTATTCCAGAGTGTGTGCTCCCTGCGTCTTGTTCCGCTTCAGCCACACCCTCATCTAGCTCAGCTGCTGACCATCCCTATGCCCTGGGGCCTGCTGTTTAAGAAGCAGAGCATGAACTCCACCAGGCCAGCATGGCTGTGTGACCAAGGTACAGCAGAGGATTAGACTGTGGACTGTGTAGAATATGGACTCCAAATCGCCGATGAAATTTGTGGGCAGGATTAGTGAGTGTCTAATCCCCTTTAATAGTGCTGCCTTCCTATTAGAAGCACCCCAGAGAGTTAATCAGACACCTGGCACTAGGGTGGACCATGAAGAATAGAACCATGCGGCATTAGTGGCATTGATCTGTGTGCCTTCATGTTTTGTATTTCCCTGTCTCACTTCACCTTGTTTGTGGGGAATTTACATGCCTGTGCAGTGGGCAGACAGCATCACCAGAGCTTTTGCTGGAAAGCCTCAACATTCATCATCCTGAAAAAACCTTGTTTCAGAACATAACAACTGTTCCCCCAGTATGGCTGCTTGCTGTGTTTTCTTTGAGAATTGCAGAATTTTGTGTTTTAAGGCTGCAGTGACATAAGCCTGTGACTAAATACATCAGTGTCGTTGACAAGGGAGAAGGCAGAGGTCAGAGAGAATAGGAATCTTGGAATAATTTTGAGGACAGTGTTGTAGTCTGGCGGCACCATGGTTCTGGCCTGCTGAGCCTGGGTCGGCCAGCAGGTGAGAAGCAATTCCAGGCAGGGAAGATGAGGTTGCACACGTCTTCCTTCTGGGCTTTGTCCCTCAGGGCTGATTGAGGCAGAAGTTGCTGTTCCCACCAGTGCAGCTTGACTTTTCCCCCAACTCATTGAACTGCCCATTTCTCACATAAATTAGTTGCCTGATAACTGCCATTTTCAGAAAAAGGTTAATGTTGCCAGGTCACCTCCCGAGCTGTGTATGAAGAGATGCTCACTAATGTTTGCACACATGGGGAACTCTCTTGGGCTCCAGACTTTCTTGTGGTGGCCCATGCACCATTCTGGCCGAGTTTGCACTAAGTACAGACATGGCATGTCCCATGCTATCCAGAATGGAGGTGGACACACTTGACTTTATATTTCTTTTTCATATAGCATTGCTAAATTTTTAAATAGACTTTATATTTCAGGGGGTAGTTTTAGACTCATAGCAAAATTGAACGGAAAGAACACATAATTCCTATATACTTAATGGCCTACTCCATTCTTCCCACTGCTGCCTCCCTCACTATCAACAGCCTGCACCAGAGAAAGACGTTTGTTACCTCCAGTGAAGTTATATTAATTACATCATGCCATCCAAAGCCCTTATTTTCCATTAGGGTTCACACTTGGTGTGGTACATTTTGGGGGCTGACAAATGTATGACATGTGCCCTTTGTTTTAGCATCAGAGTGAGCAGTTTCACTGCTCTTAAAACCCCATGAGCGTTAACTCTTCATCTCTCCTTCTTTATAAACTCTGGTTACCACTGGCCCTTTTATTGTCTCCCCAGTTTTGCCTTTTCCACAGTGCCATAAAGTTGGAATTGAATAGTATGGAATCGTTCAGGCTGGCTTCTATTACTTAGTAATGTGGGTTAGTAATCAGTGTGGCATATTTACATTTAATCGGCTCTTGCAGGTTTCTTTTGTAAACTTTCAGTTAGACCAGATTGGATAGGATGATAACCTGGCAGAATCTGTGGGTTTATCAATGATAGGGCTTAGGGTGGAAATTTCATTCTGTCAAATGTCTGCCCCACTCAGTTCAGGCTTCATATTCAATGTTTGATCAGCTTTAGATAGTTGGTTCTGTTTCAGGATGCAGCAGTGGTACTGTTTCAGCATTATTTGAACATGTGTATTTGAGGAAGTTTGTTGATGACCTGCCCTAAATGAAGAAATACAATAATCTCATGTGTTATTTTTCAAGGGCAGGATGATCACCTTAGTAGTTGAAAACTTGTCTTGCTTTTTTCAGAAGATCCATAATCATAGTTGAAAATGAAGCTAGAGCTATACATTGTTTAGAAGTTGTATTACCATAATCTAAGGATTTCTAGGACTTCTGTAGAAAATAGGAAATTTTCCTTTTGGTAGAGGCTTGGTGGGACAAGATGAGAGATTGAAAAATATTATTTCCATGTGCTCTATTTAGTGGTGGGAAGAGAAGGTAAGGGGAGATGTGAAATGTGATAGCTGCTGCTGTCACATCTGACCACTGAATGCTTTTTCTTGCAGCGCTTCAAGTCCTCTGTGTACAGGCGGTACAATGACTTTGTGGTTTTCCATGAAATGCTGCTGCAGAAGTTCCCATATCGCATGGTGCCAGCCCTCCCCCCCAAGAGGATGCTGGGAGGTAAAACTGGGTTTGTTGGGGGCGGGGCTGAGAACTGGTGTGTCCTGAGTCATGAGACATTTTTTCCTGCATCCTCTAGCAGAAAAATAGGCAGCAGCTGTGGCTTAGAGCCATGTCTGAAACAGGCAGGGCCAGATGGCATGTAGGGAGGTCCCCACTTGTGCAGGAGTGAAAGAATGCACCCAAGTTCTGACCCAGAGTGCTGACTGCGGTAATGCAGGCAGTTTGCTTTGCCTGCCTTTGCAGAGTGCTGTGAAACTTGGCCATGGGTCCACCAGACTGTTAGTGATCTCAGAAAGAGATGGACTAAATGTACAGTAGACTATCTGAACTGTAGCCTCAAGGAGATAAAAATCATCACATGTTGGCCACATTTTCATTAGTTCAAGAAGATGAGAAATCATAGGTCTCTGGGGGCCCCTTGTACACTGGCCTGCTTTGCCCCAAGCTCCAGAACCAGAGATGGCAGATGCCTTCTCTCAGGGCTTCAAATCTTCTCACAGCCCTTTTCTCAATCGAATAAAATTTGATCAATAGATAAGTGCCCAAAGCTGACCAGTTGATATTTAAAAAAAAAAAAATTTATGCATATAAGAATTGGGGTGTAGGCCAGAGGTTCAGGGGGTGAGAGGATTCACCATAAAGAGTGGGTGGACTGACTGAAATACTGCTGAGGGGGAGCAGCAGGCGAGACAGGAGAGGTCTGCTGCACCATGTGGGTCAGCTCCCTAATTGGGGATCGAACTCATGCTGCAGTGGCTGATAGCTTCATAGTGCTGACACTTCACACCTTGTACCACTAGGGAGGGTCCTGACCAGTTGATTTTCTACCATTCTGAAGAAACTATGGAGAACTAGCTTGAGATTTAACAGGACAGTCCAGTTGATAGCATTCTGAAAACCCACATGAGTACTTTGCCTCTCATTGGTCTCTTGCTACTTCAGAGTCTGATACAGGTTCACACCACTATCAGAAAGAACTTCCCTATTTGGTACTGTATTTTTTGGATCTGGGAATGCAACAAATTATGTCATTTTAAATTAATGGTATTAAAGATCCCAGACTCCAAAAATAACCTACCAGATGAAGCCTAACACAGGCATGCTCTACTTTCAGTTAGTGGGAGAAACCTGTGGTACCATTTCCTTCTCGCTGCATGTGAAATCCATAAAGAAGATTGTTCACATAACATTGAAGAAGGAAGGAATGCTCAGGGCTGTAGAAAAGGATTTTAGGGGTTGGTGAATGCTTACTAAAGTCCAAACATCAAAATCGATGAAGAATGGAAAGCATTTAGGACCCGGAAATGGCCTGCATTTCTTTCCTCAGGTGTCTTATATGTAGTTATGGAAGTGTGGCCTACGTGAGCCTACTTGGCGATCTTGGGTGACTTATAAAATGACTTATAAAAATAATATTCCAAATACTATTTCTATTTGTGATCAGATGGAAAAAACCTTAGTGTATCAGTGTACACTTTTTTTCCCCTTTGCAGTGAAAATATTTAACCTGAATGGCAAGCAATTAATAATTGGTTCCATTACCAAGTGAGCTGTTTTCACCAATAAGAAAACTGGGTTGAGTATAGGAGTGTAGCAACCCTCATTTGTCATAGGGAAGCTCCAGAGAGGGATTAGGATGTGTCTAACGTCATGATTAAAATGGGGGCTCAAACTTGGTCCCCAATGCTCTTGGTTAAAACAAATAGGCCATGGTTTTCCCCAGTGGCTCTTGAATTGATAATTGTTTGTGGGGGCAGGACATAGAGGTGGGGCTTCTGCTGCTGTTTCTCCTGCAGCCCCCTAGGCTTTCATCTGGTGCCCTTGGCCATGTTGTATGGCCACCCCAGGCTGTGCTCCTGGTGAGAACCTCTCACTGGGCTGAGAGTGAGAGTAAGGTCTCTCCCTGAGAGTTCTGGTGGTCCGGTCTCATGGTGACCCTGTGCTGTCTTTAGCTGACAGAGAATTTATTGAGGCCCGGAGGAGAGCTCTGAAGCGCTTCATCAACCTGGTGGCCCGGCATCCCCGTTTCTCCGAGGACACTGTCCTCAAGCTGTTCCTGTCCTTTAGTGGCTCCGTAAGTACATCCTGTGCCAGGTTCCCTTTACGTTCATTCTTAGGCTAGCTCTTTTGGGGCTTTCCTCTTATTCTCTTTGTTTGCATCCTCTGAGGGAATCTGTTTAGGCTGACATCAATTAAATTTCTCTTCTTCCCAAATAGCAGTCTGGGGATTATTTTAAGAGATGTTTAGGTTTTGACTTTGCCGGGTTTTGTATATGCAAGTAGGGTGATGGGTTCCCAGTGCAGCCTCGTTGAAGATGTGAAGCTGGACACAGAGGCTGGAATGATTTGGAGACTTATGGAAGACCTAGAAAGCCAGGTGCGAGTGGTCAGTCACATTATGTAGATCAGGTCTCACCAAGTTCCTTTGGAGACAAAAGTTGGTGCACCTAGCAGAGCTGCAGTTAGACTGTCCTATTGATCTAAGGAACTGAGAGGCAGTTTCTCTCTGCAGACAGCATCATGTAGTCCTAATTAGAGCTGAGGCACAGCCCTCATTCCTGGTTGGGGAATAAGGAACCACCTGGCTGTTGTCCCAGGGCTGCCAGCTTGTCTTGAGGAGGAGAGGTTCTACCCAATGAATCTTCTCACTGTGGATCTGGGCATTGAGGGGCTCAGACAAGGGGCTACTCTGGAGGAGTGAATAAGCTTCCCCATTAGAAGAGCCCTTCTGGAGTGGGGACCCCTTCATCTCTGCTACAGGAAGACGCAGGAAGCAGTGGAAGGCCAAGCCCTGTGAGGCGCCGCTTCCTTCAACATTTGATCTCCTTGAGAGGGCCTGTCAGAGCTGCCCCTTGCATTGGACCCTTGCCAGACACTCAGCAATTGCTTGTCGAGACCTTTAGTCTGCTGGTGAGCTGGAAGTGTGGGTCTTCTGACCCAGGGGTAAGGGATAGCTTCCTTAGAACAGGGATATTTACTGCCAAGAGAGGAATGTGACAGGACATGGGAGCTTTGTGTGGCTCAAGATAGGAAAGGAAAGTGGGGGGAGGTGCTGCAAGTGCAGAGTCAGCAATACCCTGTTCTGCAGCATTTAGCTGTTTGTCCTCCTGCCTTTGCCCAGATAGAGTGTCCCCAGTCTCTTTTCTCTTTTGGTAAAATGAGAGTACTGGGACTGATGATAACTAAGTCATCTCAAATTCTAGATCCCTTGATCCATAAGCAGTCATGTCTGCCTGTTTTCTGTTGCTCGTTGCAGGGGCCATATCTTAAGACTAGGCTTTGCCATGAGGCCTCCTTTTGGAGGGTAGACTGGAGACCTCGAATGTCACTCCCTAATCCAACGGGTCTGCTCACAGGAAGGAGGAGACCTCAGCTTTCCTGTCTGTTACAGTCTCACATGGGACCTGACAGATGCTGGGGAATCCCACATCCATCTGAAGTACTGATGTCGCTCAGTGGGGAGAGCTCTGTATCACAGTTGAAGGTTCACGGTGCTGCTCTTAAGGCAGCCTGTCCTTTCTGTGGAAGATCACCTTAAAGTTTAAGGTCAATGGGGAAAAAGTGAAGAGACAATAAAGAGATTATGGAACATTCATGTAAAAGGAAAACATTCCTTCGAGGAAGGACTGCATCTTGTTTTGATATTCTTTTTTTTTTTATTACAAAAGTTTATTTTTACATCATTTTGCACATTTTTTTTTTCCATCTTGATTGTAATCCCCACGCGTTTCCCATCACCAAATCACCCGTGTGCCATCACCATAATCCCGTGCATTCCCCCCTCTCCCCCTGTTTTTGATCCCATTCCCCACTCCACCCCCACAAAATGTCTCTGGTATATGGTTGTTCATTATTTTTGTTATTTTCTCGCCTGGTCCATTATACTCCTGCTATGAGTGAAACCATCCCGTATTTTTCTTTCTCTTTCTGGCTTATCTCACTAAGCATGATCTTTCCAGCTCCATCCAAGTTGCTGCAAAAGACATGTGTTTCTCTTTTTTGGTTGCTGAGTAATATTCCATTGTATATATGTACCACATCTTTTTTATCCAGTCATCTACTTTTGGGCATTTGGGCTGCTTCCATGTTTTTCCAATTGTAAATTGTTTTGATATTCTTAATCGGTCTCACCGATTTTTTCTTTTTTGTGGCTAGTAGAGGGTAAGGTTGTTTATTTTTTCCTTTTGCAGGATGTGCAGAACAAGTTGAAAGAATCAGCTCAGTGTGTTGGAGATGAATTCATGAATTGTAAACTAGCTACTCGGGCCAAGGTATTTTCTAATTCTGATTATTCCCCCCTTAACCAGAGCAACAATAATCTTACTAATTAATAGTGTTTATTTTGCCTCTACTGCTTGCCAGGGACTTTGCTAAGAGACACTATATGTTTTCTCCATTTAACCCTCATTGCAGCTGCTCTACAACAGCAGGCATTATGCCCATTTTACAGTGAACTGGCTCAGCTGTCACATGCCAGCGCCCCCAATTTTGAAGCAGCCAGACCTGGCTATCCTGAGCTCTGTTTGACCTCAGTGCCCACTAAGTCTCCTACAGCGTCTTGAGGCTTCTTGTGACTTAGATGAACATAGACTTGGTCACCAGTTTTCTGGATTTTAGGGAATTGATTGTTACATGCCTACAAAGGATTGTTAATGCCTACAAAGGATTAATTTGTTAGCTTTTTTTACCTTTCTTAGACTTTGTCTCAAAACAAAACTGCTCCATATAAAAACATACTCTTTTACCTTCATTTTATTTCCTAAACTTTCTGCTGCTTAAGCATTATACGGTTAGTAGTAGTTAATATATTAGCTTTAGTTAACACTGATATGTGGATAATATTAACACTGGTGAAAAGTTAATTCTTTGGGAATAAACGAGGAATACAGGACACTGTCCCCTCACCTAGAGTTGTAGCACTTTACATTCATGAATTCTAGTTTGAAGATGACTATTTGTGTGTTTTTTGATAGGACCTCCAGTTTGATCAAATTTCTGTGGACACTGTGTTTGTAATCTCATAGCACATGCAGTTTAGTGCTTATGATGTGTGAGTGATAGTAGTTTTGTTTCTGTTTTACCCAAGAAGAAAGGCCAAGTGTGGGCTCTGGGATCTGGGAGTCTTCACTCATCTGCCTGCTTGGTCTGATGGTTTTTTTTCTTGTCTATAATACAATCTTCTCTCTCCTCACATGTCAGGACTTCCTTCCAGCTGACGTCCAGGCTCAATTTGCTATTAGCCGGGAGCTGATTCGAAATATCTATAACAGCTTTTATAAACTTCGAGATCGGGCCGAGCGAATTGCATCGAGGGCCATTGACAATGCTGCTGACCTTCTCATATTTGGGAAGGAGTTAAGGCAGGTGACCCGTTAGGTTCTGTTGGGGTTTGGTGGGGAGGGGTCTTTAGACCTGGAGGCAGGCGTAGAGCAGCAAGTGTATTTATTATCATAACGCTCAATCTGACCTGTTTCCCTCCAAAGAGGGAAAAGGGCTGGAGGGAAGGGGGTCATATTTAGAAGGAAAAAAGTGTTGAATTTAGGCAGAGACATATGGATTCCACTTCTACAGATGTTGGTAGTTTCTGACATGGTATTTTTCCCATTGTCAGGATTAGACTTACAAAAGATCCGTTTGACTTGGGAAAGGACCCCATGGCTGTCTGTGCTTCCTTTGCTGGGACCATGGGAAGGAGTAGTGAGATGTTCAGCTAGGCCTCTGCCCTGCCCCCAAGTCCCCAGAGTTGCACTGTTAAATCTACAAGTGTACACATGAAACCTTAGGGTTTGTTCAAAACTGGCTCAGTAGAGGGGTGTGTATGAGATCTTGCCTTCTAACAGTCTCCCAGGTTTCCCTGAGGACCAGTCAGAGCAGCTGTGGTCTAGGTTAGGAGGTGCACAGGCCATCCTGGCTTTAGGCAAAGGGAGGAGTCAGGTTGGTCAGTGTGGTCGGCTTTCAGGCCCTGAGTGTCTCCTCTCCTGTTTCCTTTTCCCTTAGTGCTTTAGGGTCTGACACAACCCCACTCCCTTCCTGGGCCACTCTCAACAATAGCACATGGGGGTCCCTTAAACAGGCTCTGAAAGGCCTATCTGTTGAATTTGCGCTGCTCGCTGACAAGGCCGCACAGCAGGTGAGTGAATTTGTTCTCTATGGCACAAGTTCCAAAGAACAATCTATGCCTTGGCATGTGGGAGCGTCTCCTTCTTAGATGGACTGCGAAGTTCTAAGTCCTGAGTGAATGGACACTTGATCTTGTCCAGACCTGCTTGTCCCTATCTGTTCTGGGTGGCTTCTCCTAGCCATTTATGCTCTTAAGAGGGTTTCTGATAACAAAAATAAGTTGGGCTTGGTCTCTTGCAAGCTGATTTTGCTGAGGTTAGGAGATATAATCCGTCCTTGGAAATGTCATCTTGAACTTCCGAACACATTTCTGGGTAGACCAGATCGTTCCCTTTTTGCTGTCTTAGTCAAGAGCAGGACAGGGCTCCCGGCATTGGGAGGCTCCTTCCTTTCACCCTGGATACTCAGTTAAACTCAGGAAGTGCTTCTGCTGTATTGGCAGGTGCTATTTTTAGAAATCTGCAAAGAATGTTGTACTGTTTGGGGATTAATTTGAGGATATAGCGTTTATTGTCAAACATCTTTATGTTCACCTGGGTGCTTTCTTGTTATGAAACAGTTCCATAATTTTGAATGTAAATATTTCCTGCCTAGTTCTTGGGGAAAATGGGCTTTAGTCAGCTCATAGATGGTAAATTAAAATGCTGTGATTGTGGAGGCTTTATTGCCTGTGTCTGAGATGTGACACTCCTCAGTAGCAAGCTGGAACCACAGTGACAGCTGACTGTGGAAACTGGGGACTTTTCAGGCTTGAAGGGCACTTAGGTGCCCAGGATGTACCTAGGCGTTGAGAGGGAATTTGGCCTCATTGCTGGTAGGGGTAGGTCTGTTGTTGTCCCCTTCTCCCGGCCCTGCTGCTGCTACTGCTGGTGCCTATTTGTTCTCTGTGTCTCCAAGAACTGGCCTTGGGACTGATCCATCTGCAGGTCTGAGGTGCCCATGAGGACCAGGAACATGGTGTTGAAGGTTTGGCAGGAGACTGGGGCTGCTTTATGCCTGATCAGTGTGTAGTTCTGGTACCTCTCGGCTCACTTTGGTCCCTGAACCTGTTTTCCCATTGTGAAAAACAAGGAGTTGGACTAGATCATGAAAAACTTTATTTGACCTTTACTCAAAGTTCAAAGTCTGTAAAATGTAATAATGAAGCTATCATGGTTACAGGAACCTAGGACCTTGGCCCACATGGCTCCTTCAGCCTAGCACCTCTTGGCAGGGAGGAGCCATGACTCTCTTAGTGCTAATGTGGGGTGCAGTGGAAGTGCAGCTAGATGGGCAGATGCTGTCTCCACCTTGAGGGAGAGCAGGCTGGAGTCAGACCTTACTGGCAGTGACATACTCTGACGGCTTTTGAATGGTGCTGTGAAACTTCCTGTCTGAAGAGGGGTTGTTTCCTGAGTGTCTTTCAGTGTCCTTGGTGGTTTTCAAGCCACAGTAAAATGAATATCATTCTCATGGGAAACTGGATCAGATAAACAACCCATCAAGACCTTTGCACAAAATGGTTGGAGTTGCCCTACCAATAAAGACATCCGAGGGTTCCTTTTCTGTACTCTTTTTTACATCCTGTTTTTACACTCTCAGACCTGTCAGGAGACCTAGATAACAAATACCAACAGGATGAACGAGACTTAAAGTAGGATCTCACTCACTGTTTTTTTTCCATGGTGACAAAAGTACTTTTGGCAAAGATACATGTGTTGGTGGTCTAGGATCTTGCATGACTTCCGACTAGAAATGGGGCTTGGTAGCAGATGACCAGAGCAGGAAGGATTCCCGAGCCCCTTGATGCTTCCAAAGGGGGAACCTCCATTCTTCTGACTTCTCACCCTCTAAGCAGGGAGCAGGACATCTCCCCAACTCGTGTTTCCTTTCTAAGTTTTAAAGACCTGGAACCACATTGGCTAGAATCCTGGTGGTTTGTGTGGGATTGAGTGCTGGGAAACTCCAAGCTCAATAGTTTGAGGCTTGAAGGGTCTTAAGGTTCCCCTTGTTGGTTGGAGAGGCTGATGGACCCCCCCTGCTCAGAGTCCAGTGCTTATATGACTTCAGACTTGCCCTTCTTTTCATCATCGGTCTCCGGCCTCCTTCTGGTCGCACTCTCCCTGCAGCAGGCCTGATGTACAGTTTGTGGTCTAGGGGGTCTGGTCATGTGACTCCACAGCACTGGCCCATGGCCTGGGAAGCTCTAGGAGCAGGGCTTTACCCCTGCTACTGCCAGGGACACTGCGTTCCACTGACAGGGCTGCCCTCTCTGTGGCTGCTGCCGCTGCCTGTGGTTTCAGGGACAGGCTGTGTGGGGCTTGCCAAACACCTAACACCTCTTGCTGTCTTTCCAGCATCTGCTGTCCTGTGCAGAAATATACATGGGATCCACAAGAGAGAGCCCCCATACGCCCCCTCCTCTCTACTTGCCCTTGTGCCCACCTTGGCCTTCCTGAACTGAGGTACTTTTTCTCTTCAGTCAGTCTGAACACGGAAACAGCTTTGTCTACTTACCCGACCTGAGTGTTTCATGTGCAACATTCTGCACTCTCTAGCACCTTCACACAGCCCTCTCCTGCCAACCTGTTTCTTTTTCCTTCTATTAAAATTCAGATGACCCTCCAACATCTTCCATTTCTTTTCTGTTTTCAGCATATCTCACAGCTTCAAATGGAAATTTGAGTTTAAAGCTGTTCAGTGATGGGCTCTTCCTGGAGTGTGTGTGTCAGGGAGACTCTGGCTTTAGTGTGTGGGGGGAGGCCAGGCAGTTCTGAATAGCGTCGAGTGTGTGGGCAGGTGGCCCCGGGAGCCAAGGCCATGGTTCTCATCAGACTTCTGGGACCTGGGCTGGTGGGCTGGGGCATGGGTTCTGGCAGAGGGCTGATCTGGGGAGGAGCCAGCCCTGGCTGCAGATGATGCGGCACTGGGCGGGGTCTCGGGTCCTGCTTGTGCTCTGTGCTGGCTAACTCACCCTTGTTTTTAGGGCAAACAGGAGGAGAATGATGTAGTGGAGAAACTGAACCTCTTCTTGGATTTGCTGCAGTCCTACAAAGTGAGTCTTGGCTGCTTCTTTGTCAGGGCAAAGCTTATTTTAGGTCTGAAGGGAGTGGAGAGTTGAAAGGCAGAGCTTCCTCGGGAAGCTGGCTCCTGTTTTTCCCTGGGGCAGGCTCTGCTGAGTACTCTGACTCTGGGCCCCTGCTGGTATGCAGATGACCACTGGCTTCTCCTAGCTGAGAAAGGAGGGAGTGTGACCTGGAGGGTGCATGTGAGTGGGTAATTGTGTGTATGCGTGTGTGTATGCGTGTGTGTCTGTGAGAATATGTGTGAGCGTGGCAGTGAGGGAGTGTATGTGAGTGAGCACATGTGTCTGAGTGTCCTTGCAGGTGTGTGAGTGTGAGCACGAGGGGCTGGTCCGTCAAGGAGGGCACTCCCCTTCTACTGGAAGAGATTCCAAGAAGCTGGACCTTAGCTCCGTGGAAGGCAGGGCTGTTAGGTACCTGTCAGTTAGGGAATGGATAGTCTCTGAAGCTAGAGAAACACTGTGTGCTGAGCTTGTCTCAAGAAGAGCTGGCCCAACGCGGTGGGAATGTTCTAGAACCCATTCCTGTTGTGTGAGATTGCTAGGTAGTAAGGTGGCCCAGAAAGTTCTAGCCACTTGACCTGTGGCTGCCATTTCCCACAAGATTTGTTAGGGATTGCTTTGGGGCCCCCAGGAAATGTATCTTTGTTGTGGAGACTGTTCTTCTGCTGAAGGGGCATCTACTGTCTGGAATTGGACAACGTTAGAGTTCGAGGTCTAGGACCGTCCAAGTTCTCAGCTGTAACTGGAGCCTGTCTTTCATGGGTTTTGGTTTGTGGTGCTGACTTGCACTGTCCTCCCTCCTCGTTCAACCATGTCTGCTGACCCAAAACACTGTGTTCCTGTTTTATTTCCATGTGGGAAGTAAGCAGGGTATGTGTGAGCTGAAGAGGAAAAACCATTCTTAGAAAATGGGGCGGGGACAGCACTGACCTTTGAGTCTGCCGTGAGCCCGCTGGCCCACTCTCTCTGCATGTTCCTGACTTCATGGACTAATGGCTCAGGGGACCCGGGCAGTAGGCAAGTGCCACTTCCCTCCCACAGGACTTGTGTGAGCGGCACGAGAAAGGTGTGCTGCACAAACACCAGCGTGCCCTGCACAAGTACAGCCTGATGAAGAGGCAGATGATGAGCGCCGCCGTGCAGAGCCGCGAGCCCGAGTCTGTGGAGCAGCTGGAGTCCCGCATCGTGGAGGTAGTCTTGGCATGGGCAAGAGAGTGAGACAGCCTGGGTCTGCCTCCTGGGGCTGGGTGGAATGCCCAGGTAGCCTGAGAGCATTTTCCACACTTGGCTGGGGGAAGCTGGAGCTGTCCTTTGGGTTGACTTCCAGAAGGTCAGAATCTGGATGCTAAGGAAACTAAGTCACATGGTAACACTTGGTGTGACAAACTTGTGGGCTGTGGTACAGGTGGGAAAGCCACCCATGGGGGCACCCAGAGCAGCTTATCTTCTCCTTCCTAGTGCTCTCTGCCGTGTGCCAAATTATGTCTTCTGGTTGAGGTCTGTAGGACTTGGTTCAGCAGTTATAGGAGAAAGGGCTGGAGCCCTGGGACTTGGAAGATGGCAGTCCTTGGGCTGTGGACCCTCCCTCCTGTGTCTGCGGGCCAGGTCCAAGGGGCTCTTTTCTGTGCAGCAGGAGAATGCGATCCAGACCATGGAGCTTCGGAACTACTTCTCCCTATACTGCCTACACCAGGAGACGCAGCTAGTGCACGTTTACCTGCCCCTCACCTCCCACATTCTCGGGGCCTTCGTCAACTCTCAAATCCAAGGGCATAAGGAGGTGGGTCTCACCCATGCCACCGGCCTGTGCTGGCACCGCTCCTCTCTCAGCTTCCCTGGGAGAGGTACTTAGAGTTAGTGGGCTCTTAAGGAAGCCCAGACAATAGTTGTTTGTTGTCCTTGTGATCCATGATGGCTGTGAGAGGAGCAGCTGAGGCTGTAAAGGAACTATTCTGTATCTTTTGGAGGGACTTCAGAAGTCAGACGTAAAGCACGTAGGGTCCCTGAGAAAGGACATGGTGTGGAATCACGTTGGGGAGGAAGAGTACCTTCGATGGCCATCTTCCTGAAAACCCTGTCAGCTCCCCTCACGAGGCATCTCCTGTGTCTTTTGGAAGAAATGTTGTGCTTGTCATGATGCTTTAAGTGCATGTGACATCTAGCTGGTTCCTTTGTCTAGAGGCATCTAACTCAGCTTATGTCTTTGATGCTTTGCTCACCCTCTTCAAATGACAACATGTATGTGTCACTGACAAGCCTGGAATATGGTGTCTGATCAGGACTGAATACCCCGAGCCCCTGTCCGCTCCTGCTTCCACTGTGTGTCTCCCACACCCCTGCTTTCTGGTATTCTCTGTCCTAGGCACCTTCAAGTCCTCTTGTTAACACAGAGCACAGTTGCTCTGTAAGAGGGGCATGTCCACCGGTGGCGCCTCCAGCCCCTTGGCAGTGAGGGGAGTTCAGACACAGAACTTGTCAAACACTGCCTCAAATTATGGCCTCACTGGCCCATTTCATCTTTGTGGCCACTGTCCCTCTCTGAAAAAAATGGCATAATACATGTCTCCACCAAATTTCTAAGATTAACCTAAGGATTCAGTGGGTAATGGGCTGCCTAAGAGACACTCTGCTCCAGGGTCTGTGGCTGGGGGCTCACTAGACTGGACCTGTCACCATGGATGACACAGACTAATGGGACATCAGAAAGGGGTTTCTCAGGCTCCAAGGGAGGCCTGTGCACAGCCAGGGAGGAGGGCACATGCTAGGGGTGCTGCAGGGGATGCTTGGTAAGCAGGGTATAAAACGAACTCAGATCCCTGGTTGAGAAAGCTCAGGGGCAACAGCTTGGAGGGTGGGTAGGATAGAAGACGGGATTGCCCATTCTGTTGGCAGACAGTTCTTACTGACCTAGTTAGTTTCAACCCTGGTCAGAAACAGATTGTGACAGAAACATCTTAAATATTTTTCAAGATGTGAGTTATAGAACACATATCCCACTTAAGATCCTTAAGTTAGAATCTTTGGAGGCCAGCATTTGCGAACCTGTTTTTAGTGGGACCCCTAGGTGAGTCTAGGGTAAGGGGACACCAGATAAATCTGGATCTGGGCCTCTAGGGGACCCCCGGTGGAATAGGGAGCTCTAGAGGATACCCAGATGACACTTATACATTAGTCAGGGGCTAGCCTTGCTCACTTCTTTCTGCTCCTGTCCTCCTGCAGATGAGCAAAGTGTGGAATGATCTGAAGCCTAAGCTAAACTGCCTCTTCGCGGGACCAAACAGCTCCTTGACCCCACCGAGGTCCCCACAGGATGGCCTCTCTCTTCACTAGTGCCGAGAGGACCGGGGCAAGAGCTCCGGCGTCCTCACTAAAACGTCTTTCCAAACGGTGTGTCCCTGTTTAATTCCCTCAGACGGCGCTGCCCCCACTCCTGTGTGCTCCCAGGGCCTGGGTCTGAGGCTCCTGGAACAGAAAAGCCGATGCTGGGCAGGGTAAGGCCATAGCTGTCCCCTCATGGGGAGCAGAGCCTAGCATCCAAGGCCTGCCAGCATCCACTGAAGACCCAGGGTCTGCTGTGGTGTCCCTGTTCCCTCTCGCCTGACACCTGTCCCATGGCCTGTTGCTTTGGTGCTTGAGATGTGTTGAATTCCCTGAAGTGATTTCTCCATGGCACAAGTGGAATGATGGTTTGCACACAGCAGATGGTGCCCTGGACATGTGTGCAGGAGGACAAGTGCTAGAATGGTCAAGAGAGTGAGAGGAGGCTGAGGCCTCACGGAGCCAGGATTGTCTCTTCAGTCAGTATGCTGCTGTTGGACAAGGTGTGCCTTTGACATGTAATTGGCAGTGAGAGTCAGACAGGTCACCAAGGCCAGCAGAAGCCCTGGATGAGCCTGTGGTACCGCGAGTGGCTCTGAACTGGCAGTTATGCCAGAAGGTGAGGACCGAGGGGTCACAGGGTGCATAGTGCTAATTTCCTGGGGATGAGCTCCAGAGATGCCCCAGGACTGGGTCTCACTTCTAGAACAGTTTCCCCACATCATCCTCATATTCGAGCACACACCTCTCAGCCTCCCTTCCTCTCACTGTGGGAACTGAGGGGACCAGTTGTCCCTATATGAGATGAAGTGTTAACTCCGTGGTAGTATGTGCTGAGGCCTGCAGCCAGAGTGGCTCTTTTGATTTCTTGGCCTGTGACTTCCCTATTTTCATCTGTGAGAGCTTTGAAAGAGGTTCACATTTGAACATGGAGTTGCCGAGCTGTCTGCCTTACTTTGGTAGTCTGATGGGGATGTCTCACTTTTGCCTGGGTCTCCATGCAGCATGTAGCATGAGGAAGAGGGCGTTCTTGGGTAACTGCCCACAGTGAGCTGGTTTCCCTAGCAAACTAAAGCATATCAAGTTCAGGGGAGAGGATCTTTTGGATCTGGCCAGACAGCTGTGTCAGGCCGGGATGCCTGTGCGGACTACATGGGAGTGGGGGTGGGAGACACTGCCCCAGCCTGAGGCTCCTCAGCGGCCTCTATGTGTCTGTGTAACTTCTGGCTGAAAAGCAGGACGGCGTCACCCAGTCCCATGTGTGGGGGCTGTTACAATCACTTGCCTGTTTCTGGGCTGTTTTGCCTTTTGATCTGCATGAGACAAGTTCTCAAGCATCTTGAGTGGATCCGTGCTGCTCCACAGGCAGGGCACTCTAGCACTGTGTATACTTCAGCCAGAAATTGTGATCACAGGCCTGTCTTGCCCTGTGGTGGCACTGCTGAGCTGCCACTGCTCACCTGCCGGGTTCTGCTCGTGGGGGTCAGGGGCATGAGCACAGCACGTTGTTGGGTGAATGCACTAACCCCCGACCAGGTCCACCTGCAAGGGCACTTCTAGCTCACCCCAGCCTCCAGCCTCTGCCCTCTAGGGAGTGGTGGGGATGGTGATGGGCACTGTGCTTTCCAGCCAGGACAGAACAGGTCATCTTCCCACCAAGCCTTATTGTTGGCCTTCCCCTGGGCTGCTGCTGGTGGGTCCTCTGGCTTGGGGGGGGTTCTGTACTCAGGCCCAAGGTGGAGGACTTGGGGTGGTGGAGTCCCTGCTCATCCATCCCCCAGCTCATACCTTCCAACTACCTGAGCTATCCTTGAAGACCAGGGAGAGTGCACATCGCTATGGCCAGGCCACAGCCTGTGGAGGACACCTCAGTGGACAGGATCTGGTCCTGCCATTCCAAGAAACCCATTATTGTAGGAAGGCCGGCGTAAAGTCCAGCCACTGCCTTAGCATGCCCTCAGAACTCTGGCTGTAGGCCAGGGCCTTCCAGTGTCCAGTCTACTCTTCCCATGTCCACCTACTCAGTGGTGACAGACAGGCTCTGGCCCTGATACCACAGAGCAGCAAAGGAAGATGTGATGGGGGACAATGACTCATCAACATGGTTGTTTCTAAGGCCTTCCCTCTTTGGGGGAGTCAGTTTTTTTTTGTATGAAGCACTTTATAAGGCTGCAGAAATTAATTACTACCACACCCAATAAACTGGAATTGTTTACAAAAGATATATATTCCAAGATTTTTATCAATAAACTTACATGAACAATTATTAAGCATATTTATAAAAGTTGGGTACAGCTGTGTGTTCTTTGTGTATGTCACTATTAACTTCCCTTGTCAGAAATTAGGAGGAGAATGGCCTCTTGTCTTGGTGGTGGTGGTGGTGGTGGTGGGGGACTCACCCAGGGTGCCCCTGGGCTCTGCCTCACTGTAAAACAGGAGACGGCAGAAAGTGGGGAGGGGGTGAGGAGGTGGACATGCCTGATTCACCCTGTGACCCCAGCACTAAGCTGGGCACTGAGCAGATGGAAGCCAGGCCCTCCTCCACCTCAGGGATAGTCAGAAAGCTGACCTCTCATAGGCATGTGTCTTCTCTGCTGCTATCTCTGCCCCATCTGGCCAGGGTCACAGCCTAGCACATCCAGGGCTCCCTGAGATCAGGGCTGGGCTTGTTATGGGGGGGCCCCAGGTGTTTAACAGATAAAGGCATTTACTTCCCTTTCATCCATTTGAGTTACCACACAGAACCACACCCCAGCTCTCGGCTCTGGAGCCTGCCTGTTCCTCCTCTAGACAACGTCCACCTCACGAAGCGTGTAGTCCATGATGGTATCATGGTCCTGGAACTTGAAGTACCCCTGGAACTTCCTCTTCTGAAGCAGGAGGGGGAACCAGTAGCAGTTATCAGGCCACATGTCACTAAAGGGGATCTGGTCCAGCTGGAACCACTGAGGGCGCATCTCTGCAGCGGGTGGAAAGGAAGAACACCCACATTTAACCCAGGTTTACACTGACTTCTGAGGAATTAACTGCAGGATTCTGTGTTAGGAACGTACAACAGGTCCTCGTTCAGCATCATTTCATTCTAACACTGGTGAGAAAAGAAACCCTGGGGCAAACTGATGAAATATTTTTCAAGGACCTGCTTTCCTTATATGTTGTTTTGCTTCTGGTCACATTTCTCAAAGGTAACTTTAGTGAGGACGTACTGTACTTGGTAAATCATGTGGCCATTGCCTATAGACAGACCTGGAAGAAGGCTGGGGCTGGTGAGTTGAGGCCTTGCACTCAGAGGGAGTGGCGGGTCAGGGCTGCCGAGTGCTGGAGGGGCAGCTCCCAGGACTCACCCTCGCTCTCCTCGGGTGTCCCGTGAACACTGTCTGTGCAGAAGATGTGCACGTCCATTAGCTCGGGTTTATCCACGAACTCAAACACAATGTGGCCCACCTTGTGCAGTGTGTCCACAGTCAGACCACTCTCCTCCTGCAGCTCCCTGGAGTGGAGACAGAGGGGTGGAAGGTGACTGAGCACATGCCGGGATCCACACACAGCCCTGAGAATGTGCAAGGCAGGTGAGGGAGTGGGTGGTTGCACCTGCGCACCTAAGCACTGAGGCATCACAGGGAGGCCTGGGAACCCGAGGGAACGTCATCTAGAACACATCTGGCTGACCCACATCTGGCTGACCTTTGAATTTATATGGTACCTTTTTGAAAGCTGCTTTGGCTCAGAGATTCTAGATCAGGAGTGTGGTGAGCCATTAGCCGGAGTGCATAGGCCTACCCTTCTTGTACCATGTAGCAGCTCAGGCCTGGCTGCACTGTTGTTACTTGGAGGTGTCCTGAGAGTTTGTGGTAGAGCTGGGCACCCCTCACCTCCTTCAACTGCTCTCCCCCCATGGGGCTGTGGCAGTCACATGAATGCTGCTCTCTAGGTTCCAGGCTGTAGGAACCTGGACCAAAGCTGGGCCTTTCTCTCCAGAGACCTAGCATTCCAGCTTAATGCTAAGTTCAGGGATCAAACCACAGATGTCTGCTGTATGTCTTGAAGGAGGAGCTCTTTTATCCTGTTAGCCATGGACACACCTTCCACCTCCTCCCGCCAGGTCATCTAGTTGGTTACATGGGAAAAAAGCTTCGGGCCAGTCTGGCACCTGTCCCCCCATTCTCAAGCTCCTGTCCTCACCTGGTCTGCTTGAGGGAGAGGGGATAAGGGCTGATTGGCCACAGGAAGCATACTGGGAACAGCCTCGTATTCTAATGCTGTTGTCTATTTCTAGACATTTCCAGAACTACATGTTGCTATAGAGCATCCAGCAAACAAACACCCAGACTGGCCACCCTGAGAAGCCCTGCTACCACTTCTGTGTCTTTCCTTTGTGTGTGTGTGTTTTTTTTCCCTTTGTACAGCCCTGAAAGAAAACTGAAAACACAGTGCTTTTCACACAGCAGTGACATTCTGCTCCTCAAGGAATTCAAGTGGCTTTTCAGCGGTTATGTATTATAGACTAAAAAACTTGTTTATGGAGAGGGTTGAGGTGCACCCCTCAACCCTAACTTTTTTTTTAAAGGTGTATTTATGCACATAAAAACTGGGGGGGGGGTAGGTGAGAGGATTCACCAGAGTGGGAAACAAACTAGGTGGATTGACCGAAATACATTGCCAAGGGGAGCGGCGACAGGACAGGTCTATCTGCTGTGTCATGCGGGTCACCTCCCTGGCGGGGGATCAAATTCATGCTACAGTGGCTGAGGACAGCTCCATAGTGCTGTACTTTAACCCCTGGCACTACCAGGGAGGTGCCCACCCTCCTAATTTCTCAGTCACGGTGCTGCTGCTTCAGTCACTCAGAAGGGCGTTCTGGAACACCAGCTGTGTTCAGACTCTGGGGACTCCTGCAGCCGCTGCTGTCAGGAGACTATCCCCTGTCAGTCTCACTTCCCCACCACCCTATATTTACTTACTTCTATAAAAATGGTCTAATTAGGCTCTCCCTGGTGGCTCAGCGGGTTAAAGCACTGCATTGAGAAGCAAAAGCCACTTCCACATGAGTTCGATCCCCGCCTGCCCTGGAGGTGACCACATGGCGCGGCAGACCTCTCCTGACCCGCCCGCTGCTCCCCTCAGCAGTGTACTTCATTGATCTGCCTATTCTGCTCCCCGCTCTGTCTCTGGTGAATCCTCTCACCCTCCGCATTTCTGGCCTGTACCCCAGTTCTGTACAAATAAATATTAAAAAAAAATGGTCTAATTATGACCAACCATTTATAGTTGTTATGTTAAAAAAAAAAGTTTTAGCTTTCATCTCTTAAGTTATGTTGGGGGCACCATACTTACGCCTGTAACAAGGAACAGGGAGGCCACTTTGCCCCTCAACTATACACACTGGGTTAAATGGTCTTATTTATTTACAAGGATGTCTCCCTCAGAATGGAGTCTACTCTTACTTTCCAGATGCAGGCCCATGGAAGTTTTGAAAACTGAAATTGACTCACTGAGATAGTTAATTAAAATTAGACTTGACCTAAAAAATGAGTGTTTTCACTTGTGGGGTGCAAATAGAAGCAACTCAGCAAGCCCCTACCCCTGTGGCAACAGACTGGGGGATCTGATTTTAAAACAACTTCACTTCTGATTTAATGTTTTGACTGAAACTCCCTGAGCATATGGCAGTGAAGGGAATATCCGTAATCTTGGGGACAGAGCTAAAGCACTGTTTCACAGGCGGGATGACACTGTTGGTTTTGCTAAAGTGTTTGATTGTCTCATGATGCTCAGCTCCCCAGACAGCAGATGGAGCACAGGATGAGGAATATATTAAACAAAACTACAGCAGCCCAGTGTCTGGCTGAGTGTAGGGAGGTGGGTAAGGGGCCCTGTGATCCTGGGGCTGCTCGGGGATCCCCTCAGCGGTTTCTCCTCTGCTCTCTTACAGAGTTTTGAACACTCTGTCCTCTTCAACCCTGGGGCTATCAGGAATGTACATGTCACCTGCCCACAGCCCATACCTCACCCCCAGGGCCTATACCCCTCACCAAAGAACATGTCATCTTGATGCTTAGGTGGCTTCTTAGCATGCAGGAGGGACCATTCACACAGGGCTATCTAAAGTGAGGAGGTGGGCAAGGAGGGTATATTACCTGGTTCTTGAACTGGGACTCCAAAGGGCAAAAGAGCTATGCACAAGATATGTACCAGACTTGGTTCTGAAGCCCCTTTGCATGGCAGAAGCTGTGCAGCCAGGGTTGGCAGCCTATGGGCAGCCCTGGGCAGAAGGGCACACAGCCCTGGAAACTGACCTGTCTCCCCCTCTTCACCAGTGCCCTCCCGTTGGAGGGCACCTGACCCTTTGCTGCATTCTGCACCCCAGCTAGAAGATGGGTTTCCCAGCAGACTCCTCAGAGCCAGCATTCTGCTACTTGGTTAGGGCTGGTCGATCTTAACTGGACCCTGAGACTGTTTGACCTGTCTCAGAGTGAGGCTGGGCCTGCCTTAATGCCAGGCGTCTGTCAGGCAATAACCTGATCCTCTAACTCACTGCTGCTGGGCATGGAAACCAATGATGCCCTCTGGCCATGGGAGCAGGTTCTGCTGTGGAAGGGCGCACCCTGGTGGAAGCCCTGGTCTCAAACTTGAGCTGGCTGGCTGGGAGGAAGCCCCCTCCACAGCAGGCACCTTGTCCTGTAGCAGCTGCAGTCCCAGCCGTTGGATGAAGCCCCCAAAGGGCAATCAAGAGTCTCTTGGAGGGTAAGTGGGACCGACATAACAAAATTATGAATGATTCTGAACATCGAACATCAAAGCCATTGGTTTTGTGATCTGTGTTAAGGTCAGAACCAGGAATGAGCCTGGAGCTGGGGCACTGCTCCAGGGGCTTCTGCTTGTAGATAGCGACCAGAAGGCTGGCCTGGTCCCTCCACCCCAGATGTCCAGGCCCAGCACAGCAGTTGCACAACCCCCCAAAATTTGCTCCTTTACCCATCCAGTCATGTAATACCTCCAACTCCTGGAGATACTAAAAAAGAAAACTCTTTGGTTTTTGTCACTATGTCATGTGTTTACGACAAAGTGGCACCGCAGTACAGTGTGACCATGGGTTTTTCAACAAACTATGATGGATGAGCTGGATATTCATGTGGGATTGAAAAAAAAACCACCTCAATTCCAGATAATTTAAAGATCTAACACATTATGAAAGGTTTAGAGCATCAGAACAGACATGGCAGCGATATTGGGATTAATAGAGAACATAGAACAACTTAGCACTGTGCTAAGGGCTTTCAATACACGCCAAGAACAGACAGGCAGTGTAAGCAGAGATGAAGTCCTAAGAACCAATGCTAAATTTCAAAGGCACTAACAGAAAGAATGCCTTTGATGGGCTGATCAGTAGGTGACATGGCCGCGCAGATAATCTCTGAGCTACAGAACATGTAATAGGAAAATGGAAAAGCACAGACAACAAAGACTTTAAAAAGAGGGGGCGAGAGGGATCAAAATGGTAGGGAAGAGCACAAGGACCATAGTGATGGTGCATGGGTGAACCGGTGGTGAAAGGAAAAAGCAGTGTACAAAAACACTGATGTTAAAAAAGAAGAAAATACATACATACACATACATAAAGGACAAAATATAAAAGCACTAGGAGATGAAAAGCAAAGAGAAGGAATATTTGAAACAATAATTACTGAGAATTTCCCTACCTCAAGGTCAGACACCCAAACACAGATCTGGAAGTTCAGGGGATAGCAAACAGGATACATGCCCTTTCTGTACCCCAAAGACATGTTATCTTCAAACTACAGAAAATCAAAGATAAAGAAAAATTCTGAGAGTAACCAGAGGGGGAAAAATAAAGATGAAAATTTGCATCAGACTTCTCAGAAACTAAGTAAGTGAGAACAGAGTGAAATATTTAATGTTGCGTGGCCCCTGCTCTGGCAACCAAGAATTCTATACCACAAAATTACCTTCACAAGTCAAGAGAAGACTTGCTCAGTGTCTGCCACTGAGCAGTGCTTGGGTGTGGGCGTTTCAAATGCCAGCAACATAATGGTCCCGGTAGGACAGATAACTCTAGTGGCAGAAGTGAGCCTCTGGCACCCCCTGCTTCTGTCCATTTCCCTAACTCTCTTCTGCACCTAGTACATCTCCAGCATAGCTCATGGGTTGGGGACTCTCACCAAACGGCTTTTCTCCAGTCCTTCCAGTGCAAGACCAGCTACAGTCCCCGGCAGTTGCCAAGAGGAATGACTAAGATACCAGTATGGCGGTAGCCCTGGTCCCAGGCCAAGGAAAGGAGGTACACGTGAAGCACATGACATGGAGAGCTTTTTGAACTAAGGGCTACGACTGAAAAAACAAACAAACAAACAAACAAAAAAAACAAGAACAGGAACAGAATATCATATTGGAGCATTTTCATGTGTTAATGGTATCGAAACAGAGTATAAAACATTTCTTATAATGGTCTGTGATCATGTCATTATGAAGACACCCAAAACTAGAAAGCCACTGGGTTATGGCACCCCCAGTTTCTTCTCTTTCAGATACTTTAGTAGCATACATTGGGGGATTTGTTCTCTCCAAGGAAAGTGACCTTAAGGTTGCCAACCATTTTCAGAATAAGAGTAACATCAGCAGGTCCTAGGGTCTGTGTAGTGCTTTGTGACTTTCTCACACAGACACACACACACAAACACACAGTCCCATTTTATCCACTTAAGACTGAAATGAAGTAAAAAGGGCAAGGAATGTGCAGGACTGTGGAGTTCAGCTGTGCTTGCTGTTCACTATCTCTGGGCTTCATTCCTTCCCATGTGAAGCTTGCTGTGTTGAGGCTAACTTGAGACTATTGTAAAAGGTTTCTGATTGAAACATTCCTTATCAGTTTCATGGGATCCTCATCAGTTTCCTGAGAAACATCAGTCATCAGTTTCCTGAGCAAATGAATACTCAGTGGCTGACCAATCCTGCAGCTAGAAAGGGGAAGCCAGGACTTCCCAATGCAAGCCACATGCATAGCAGCTTCCCAAATGTACCCCATAATTACCAGCACACACACACACACTAGCCTGTCCTCAGCACTGAGTCAGGTCTTTTATGTGCAGTTTCATCTAATCTCCCTGATAATCCTAATTGGTGGGTACTGTTATCCCCATTTTGTCAGATGAAAAGACTGAGGCCTAACTACATGCTCGAGGTCACACAGCTCTAAGTGGTGACATCAAAGGCTGGCACTATGTTTCTCCCTTGTGCAAACTGGTTCTGTGGTCAGGCTATCCTTTCTTTACCTCTTGGCCCCATCTTTGATGGTCTCCCCTTCTTCAACTTTACCCCCAAAGCCATTCCACCGGCCAGCTCCGAAGCCTCGTTTCTTCATGCCCAGGAGAACTCTTGAAGGCTGAATCACCAAAACCAAAGTGTAGAGCCTGGAGGGGCGCATGTTCCCAGTGGGTTCTATGAAGAAGGAAAGAGGGCTGGTTAGCTCAGTACAGAAGTGGATGGGGTAAGGAGAAAACCTGTGTGTTTTAGTGCTGGCAGGGGCCAGGTGGGTTGGAAACATGCTTTCAAAGGCAGGGACGGAGGCCACGGTCTTTTTCCAGCTCAGATGTGAGTGGCCTGTCTTGGTGTAACAGATGATTTTCTGGGGGCAGAAAGAGGATTGGCCTTTGGAATCGGAGGGACTCAGTGCCCACTTTGCCAGGCTGATATAGAAGGTCTGGTGACAGCCACTCTCTTTTACCCCCTTCTTAACACAGGGGTGTTTCCACTTTATGTCTTAGCCAGGTGCAGAAGCAGGAGGGCAGACCAGCCCCCGTGCTCAACAAGCACCAAGATGCCGTTTATCAAATAAATGGTTGTAGGTTCAGGATTTGGCCTTGGCCCTTTCATCAGTGGGGTCTTCCTCTGGCCTTTGGATGTGGCTTCTGTCTCCGTGAAGACCTCCAGATTTCCAAGGAATGCACCACTCCCGACAATGAGACCACCCGGTGAGACCTGGCTAGTTCACCCTCCTGTGACAGAAGTTCACGCTCGTTACACAAGTGTGGCTCCTTCAGGTCCTGGCACTCAGAAGGAGCACTGCAGCCAGGGTCCCCCTGCTGGAAGAGGTGAGAACGACCGCTTGAGGGTGCAGTCTGGAGAAATGCTGGAGGCATGGTCCATCTCTACCCGGGCCTGGGTCTCCAGCTCCTCTCCGCAGGCGCCTTGGTCCCATAGTCCTAAAGTCGGGAGCTGGTAGTCTGGCATCAGGACTGGACAGGTCCACGTTACTCAGGTGGCCCCTGAATGCAGTCACCTGTAAACTGGGGCCTGTTAACCAGAGACACACGTAGTGCTCCTGATTGGACCTTTCAGACGTGGGCTACAGATAAATGAAATTCCCCAGCCATCCCTACCCGGGCTCCGATGCGCCCAGCTGTGCTGGCCCGGTCCGGCACTCGCTCCTTCCGCCTCCACCCCGCTCTGTCCGGCCCTCCTCTCTCCGTTCCGCCCGCCAGCTCACCAGACCTCGGTCAGTTCCTGCAGCCTCCGCTCCCTCGCCCCGCTCGCACTTAATTCAACTACGCAGCTCCGCGGGCTCCTTCCGAATCTGGAAGTCGCTTCCGGGCGTCATGTCCCAGACCGGAAGCGGGATGGGCACTTCCGGCGGCGGGAACTGGCGCGGTCTGGCCATGGCGAGGTGAGCGCGCGCTGTCCAGAGCTTCGCGGCGTTTAAGAACGCCGGCTGCTTTCGTGGGGGCGGGTCGCCCCTGTTTTTGGTCAGAAATAGTGCTGACCCGCCTCGGTCTTGGCCGGGCGGGTTGACGGAGGGGCCTGTAGGCCGGTGCCCGAACAGTCGGCGGGGGCCCTCTCGAGGAGCTGCCTATTGGGCTGGAAAGGGCCGTAGGAAGAGGAGGGCGGTGAGGCCACCCTGCTGGCAGAGGGCGCGGAACGAAAGGGACTGGTGAGGTGGCCGTGAGTGGAGGTCTCACTGCCAGAATCGCGGGCCTGAAGGCACGCGGCTCTGAGCGAGAAGCCCAAGTGGCGGGCTCCAGGAGGTGGGGGGGGGGGCTCGACAGGTCAGCTGTCCAGACCAGGTGGGCTCGGGGTGCGGCTTTTTCTGTGCCCCACCCCTCCCCTCAGCCCTGGACTTAGTTCTGCCCCTGAGCCGCTCTCTCTGGTCTCTTCCTGTTCTTCCCAGGAGACCCCTCAACTTCCAGTCGTCTGTAATCTTGTCATCATGTTGTGCGGTGAAACCTGTAGCCACGGGGATAATGACAGCTTTATTTTTACTCATTAGAAAAACTTAGAGAACTTACTTGCAGGATTGTTCTGAGAGTTAAATGAGGGACGGTGTGAATAGCTCTTAGGATGCCTGGCCTATGGGGGCAGTCTGTAAACTTTTCTAGAGGAATTGTCCCTCAACTATTCTCACTGCTTGAAGTCAATTTTAGTGAGACAGTGACAGACCAGGATCTGTGCTGGCCACGGAAGCCGTGGAACTAAGGCAAGACTGGAATTTGGGGGGGTTTTCATAGTCTCTCAATCCAGTGAAATGTGTACCAGAGGAGAAAGAATCTATTTTAATTAGTTTTATCAGTACTGGGAAAACTTTGGTTGATTCAAACAAGCTATCATTGGTGTTTGAGTTTGCTTTTTGAAGAAAACTTCCGGGGGTGGGGGGGGGAATGCTTCTTGACTAAATGATAGAAACCCATTGTATGAGTCAGCTTGGGCTGCCATAACGTTGTCACAGACCAGTTCGCTCAAATAACTGAAATTCATTTCTTAAAGTGCTGGCAACTGAAAGTCTGAAATCAAGTTGTCGGCTGGGCTGTTTGGTCTTGAGTTTTCTCTCCTTGACTTATAGGCAATTGCCTTCTCCCTCTGTTCTCATGTGGCCTTCCCTCTGTGTGTCTGTCTTGATGGCTTCTCATAAGGACACATATCAGATTAGGGCCTGAGCTCGTGACCTCATATTTTGAGTTACAGAGTTAGGATGTAAATGTCCAGATTTGGGGGTACACAGTTCACCTCATAACACATACTTTTTGGCTGTATAGTTTTGCAGAATCACCTTCCCACTTAGGCCTCCATGTCCCATCTCTATAATGTTATGAGCTGAACTAAGGACCACACTGAGCTTGCAATCTGCTTACCTGTTGATGTCAGCCTGTTTGCTCCTTTTTTTCTCCCATCAGGTCCTTGAAACTGGTATGTGCTTCGCTCCTGCGCCAGAAGTTCCATACCACTAGCAGTCACTACAAGGGTCGGTCTGGCACTGAGCACCTGTGGCTGAGCAGGCATCTGAAAGACCCATTTGTGAAAGCTGCGAAGGCGGAGAGTTACCGGTGTCGAAGTGCCTTCAAGCTTCTGGAGGTGAATGAGAAGCATCACATCCTACGACCTGGCCTACGGGTGTTGGATTGTGGGGCAGCTCCTGGAGCGTGGAGCCAGGTGGCAGTGCAGCAAGTCAATGCTGCAGGCACAGGTGGGGCTTCCATGCTGCTCTTAGGCCTTCTGACCACCAAGAGTCTGCAGACCCAAGCCAGTTGCCCTCCACCCCAGAGGACACAGAGTAGCTGAGCCACTTTGTGAAGCACCAACTTCTGTGTCGGATGCTTAGTAGTGATGATAAAAATACATTTTCCAAATGAAAGACAAGGAATTCCAAATGGTCTAACAAAAAGCATCTCACACCATACATTAGTATGTCAGTGTACATCCTTCCAGAATTTTTTTGCATGCATAACTATGTGTGTGCATATTCTTACTTTTTAGGATGTGATATTGTATCATATATTTCTGGCTGGTTTGGAGCTTTCATGGAGTTATCGCTTAATGATACTGACATTTTTCCATGACAGTCCACAGAGTTGACCCCAGAGGTTTCCAGGTCCTGATTTTTGAATGCTTATGTTTCATGGGGGTCCCAGGTGGACTTTCCTTCTCCCCAGCCCCCAGGGTTTCCACTTTTACTGAACCCAAGTTATCTGTTTCATAGTTTGGGTTTTTGCCAAAGATTTTCTATATTAAAAGTTCCCTTCTAATGACCCTGCTACCCCTCCAACTTAGCTGAACAGTTGCCTGCCCTTCTGGCTGGCTGTTGTACTATTGGGTGTTTAACCTGTTAGTCTGGGACTCTAGGTTGTTCTCAGGTGTGCACAGTGCTGTGAGGACTATGAGAGTGCTGTGTTATACTTGATTTAAGAGGATGGCACAGTTCACAAAGATTTCTCCCAACTTTCGAGAGTGGGGACATTTGTGTCTATTTTCTTGATGAGAAATCAGAGGAGTTCAGTGCCCTGCAGTCAGACCTGCAAGTGTTGATCCTTGGGTTCATTCACCAGTCTCATTGTTGGTCTGAGGACTCAATCAATGTGAGATCAGTTTTAAAACTTTATTTTTTTTAGCTCAAAAATTGTTCATTGACTAAAATGAATGAATTTGTGTCAGGACTTTTAGTTCTTACCACTGCTAAGCCAGTTGCTAATATCCACAATTGATAGTAGTTCATGTTTTAATTGCTCTTCTGGAGAAGCAAGAAAATGGCCAAGTTGGGCCCTCCCTGGCGGCACAAGGGGTTAGGGTGCAGCATTGCAAGCTGGCCGTGGCTGCTTCAGTGTGAGTTCAATCCAGGTCTGGCCCCCATCTGGCCCCAGAGGTGACCTCACATGGTGCAATAGATCTCTCCTGTCTTGCCCCTCAGCAGTGTACTTTGTGCCCGTTCTGTTCCCCTACTCTGTCTGTGGTGAGTCCTCCCACTGCCCCTGCACCTCTGGCCTATACTCCAGTTCTGTATGCATAAATAAATAAATCTTTTAAAAAAATGGCCAAATTTACCTGGTAGGCAAGAAGTGGCACAAGTAGTCTGTGGATAATATGACTTGGTTTCTTTCCTCCTAGAAGTTGCAAAAATGCAGCCAATGCCATTAGTGGACACTAATGGTTGTAAGGCATGGGATGTTAAAGGGAAGAAAGCGCAAATGCTTAAAAAGAAAGGTGAAATGTCTTACTTTTCCAGGACTGAAAACTGAGTTTTCATCTTTGCAATGAGGTACTCTGTAAAATACCTGAACTTTCAATCTTAAGACAAAAGTATAGTATCTCCCTCCCTCCCTAGTGTTTTTATTAGACTTAACCACTTGGCAGATCTGAAACTTATCAATGCTTGTACTTGTCATCAGAACAAAGGCCCTCAGTACAGGGAAGTGATACAGAGATAGGACACCTGGCATAGGGGGCTTTACGGGGCTTTGAATGTAGCCGCAGCTTGAGAAGAGTGGGAGCTGGGGACAGCTTTTTGTAGACAGGAAGTCTTGTTTTCGTACGGTTAATCAGATATGTTTTCATAACTTTTTAAAAAAAAATTTTAACTTATTTATACATACAAGAACTGGGGTGTAGGCCAGAGGTATGTGTGTGTGGGGAGGGGTGAAAGGATTTACCAGAGACAGAGTGGGGAGCAGAACAGGCGGATCTCCTGAAACGCATTACTGAGGGGAGCAGCAGGTGAGACAGGAGAGGTCTGCTGCTCCATGTGGGTCAGCTTCCTGTCTGGGGGTTGAACTTCTGCAGCAGTGGCTGGCAATAGTTTGATAGCACTGAGATTTTAACCCTTGTGCCACCAAAGATGTCCTTTTCATAACTTGTCATTCAAATATGGGCAAAGGGTCACTTCTTATAACTTATTTTACATCTGTCCATTTTTCTCATTCGGCTTATTTCTGATGGAAAGAAATTGGATAAAGTTGCAGAATAGGTCTGTTGACTAAGTCCAGAGATAATTTATATATCAGCATGTATTTTTATCAAAACAGCACTCAGTGATAAGAACCATTTCATGAGAACAAGCCTCAGGGAGTGAAATAAAATCAGAGTTGGAATCAAGTCCTGGTGTGGCTCTGTTCTGCTTATGACTGGAACTGTTGATTTTCCTTTGTGGGGTTAAGTTTCCTCTTCTGCAAAGGACCAACCTCCCCTCTCACCTGCCCACTCCCAATGTATTTTTGCAGGATATGTAGAAAGTAGAAGACTCATGTCCACTTACTGCACACAAGCTCTTTTCTCTAGTCTTCACTTTATGATTGTATTTTTGTGGGAAGATTCAGAATATAAGTAAGTAATACATCCACTCTTTTTTAGATCCCAAGGCTCCTGTTGGCTTTGTGCTTGGGGTAGATCTTCTTCACATCTTCCCTTTGGAAGGAGCAACTTTCCTGTGCCCTGCTGATGTGACTGATCCAAGAACTTTCCAGAGAATTGGAGAGCTGCTTCCTGGTGGGAAAGCAGATGTGATTCTGAGTGACATGGCACCCAATGCCACAGGGATTCATGACCTTGATCACGACAGGCTTATTAGTCTGTGCATGTGTCTCCTGGCCCTGGCTACAGACATCCTTCTCCCTGGGGGGACATTTCTTTGTAAGACCTGGGTTGGGAGTCAGAGCCATCGATTGCAGAAGCGGCTGAAAGAGGACTTCCAGAGAACAAGGACTGTAAAACCTGAGGCCAGCAGGAAAGACTCTTCAGAGGTGTACCTCTTGGCCACACAGTACCGAAGAGTGAAGGGGTCTTTGGAGGACTGAAGGTTACTTCATTATTGGTCCCTTTCCATTACAAATATAGCCTGAGATCTTTCCCAGAAGTGACTGGGAGAACTGAGCGCCTTTTTTTTTTTTAACCAAAAAGATATGACAGAAATATATTCAGTGGCTATGATCTACTGTAAAAAAGTCTGTGATGTGATCTTGTTATTTTGGCCAAACTATGGTTAAAAAAAAAAAAAATTTCAACCTGGGGATGAATTTCCATTTCTCTGGTGAATTATCTGTAAAGGCACCCATTCCTCAAGGAGGAGTTCACAGGGCAATCAGGGAAGGCGTTGAGAGGATCTTATGCATGGGGTGGGTTTGCTTGGGCTTCTGCTGATTTGTTGGTGTAATACTCCAAGTCTATAAAGCTAATTGCCAAAACAAGTGCCTTGTGGTGAGTTCATTGTTTTTTACTCTTTTAAAACACCATGCCGACTTACAAATGAATGTAGGTATGTAGGTTAGCTAAAAGATTTCTGGAATTTAAGGAAGTCTACTGGTTTCTTAAGTGTACACTGAAGTGAACTCAGTATTTGATTATGATGATGATTAAATCTCAAGGACCACTGCAGTTAGAATGGATATCCAGGAATCTCCATCACGATCTTTTGTCTGTTCAGAACCCAGAACAAGCCAGACCTTTTATTTTTAGCTGGGTGGGGTGGGGGTGGGGTGGGGGAGTGGGTACGGGGATAGCAAGGAAAAGGACAGAGGCAGTGCATCTCCGTTCTACCTCCACCGCATTCTCCCTCTCCCCATCCCATTTCGTTCCATTTTGCCCTCTGGAAGACGGGAATTCAGACCTCAGCGCTTATCCTTGCAGAATCGCACAGGTAAAGAGCGTGAAAACTGACACATTCCGGAGAGAAAAATAGGTCGTTAAGGCCCCGGGGAGCCGCTGTTTGTGAGCCTGGAGAACCGGGTTCACCGAGCAGATGAAAATAACTTGCTAGTTGAGGAAACTGCTTTTGGTAGTGCGCCCGGAGGAAATTAAGAACGTCAAGTAAACAGGTCAAGTAAATGCTGCCTTAGCTAATGGGAAGAGCGCACAAAGTTTGGCCCTAGCAGGCCGCCGTTGGGCGGTGCTATTCTACACAACTCGGTGCGACCCCACCGCCTTCGTGGAAGCACGTCCCGCGGTTGACTGGGACACCCCAATAGTGCCGCCCGCAGGCCTTGGATTCCAGGAGGCTCCGAGCGGGGCCCACCAGGTTGGGCGGCTCCGGGAACCACACGGAACGCCCCCGACCAGCCAGTGGGCGCTTGCGGCACTTTACGGCGGGCCCGTCCAAGTCTCGCGATACCGTAGCTGCAAGTCTCGCGATACCGGGCGCCGGGCAGGGAGGGAGATCTGAGCGGCGGCGGCGAGCAGGCGCTGGCGGGCGGCGAGGTTAGCGCTGGGCGAGGGGCCGGAGTTGGGGCCGGGGCGCTAGGGCAGTGGCCCAAGGGGCAGATGCCACCACTCTCGCCTATCCTCGCTTTGGAAGCTCTGATCCGGCGTTCCTACTCCCTCCTTTCAGTCTCCGAGACCCCTCGCGGTCCCCACTCTGTCACCGTGGGTGGGTCTCAGATCGCCCCTCCGCCAAGTGCTCTGTCCTCTGTTCTGAACCGGGATTTGAGCCCCCGTTTCCCTTTCCCTAGGCTTCCTGTCCTAACAGGAGAACCTGGAAATGGCCAGTGATCGGGAGGGCAGGAGAGCGCCAGGGAATGTATGTCACAGGTCCTCGCGAAGCAGGTTGCTCCCCTGAGACAGTCCTGGAGACAGAGAAGGTCTTCCCTCCAGAACTGCCCTTTGCAGCTGTTCAGTACATTGACCTCTTCTTCAGCTGAATGAAGCGTGGAAGTTGGTACCATTTCCATTTTGCAGCTCAGGAAATCTTGGAAAGATGCAAAGTGACTTGTGACTTGCCCAGAGTCATACAGCTTGCTGGTACCTAGCAGAATGGGGACTTGTGTTCATAATTAGCACGAATTTGGAGAAAACAGAAAAGACATGTCATGAACTTAAGAGGCCAAAACAGAAAAGACATGTCATGAACTTAAGAGGCATTGTGCAGTTGTGTTGCTAGGTGGTGATTACCCTTGTAGTTTCTTTAGGTTTCAATATCATTTTTGACAGCGATGAGAAGTGCTGTTGAGAGCCAGTCAGCAATGGATCTTCAGTGTGGGGGTTCTGTTGAGAGCATTTGGGATTCAGTGGTTAAGTTGCTGGAAGATTTGAGTTTCTTGGGTAAGGAGGTTGGAGTTTGAATTGCCAGCATATCCCATCCTAATGGGGCAACTTAGTTTCTTTGTGCCCTTTTGCTCTATTGTATTTGGCATTTCAATTCTTGCCAGGGAGATCCTCAAGAAGAGGATCTATTGCCTTAATTTCCTATCATGGAATGGAGAGTATGGCTTTGACTATACTACTCTTGGCAGATGGAAGGACTTGCTTTCTGGAGCAGAACTCTGCCGCCTCCCGCCATGCAGGCCTGTGTCTGCGAGGCACATTAGTGTAGAGTGCACCATCTGTTCACTCTTGCAGTCCTTTTTCCATTTAGAGTGTGGGGGTCGGGGGGGGGAGGCAGCTATTAACTATGGCCCACAGAAAATGAGGTTCTGCTTGCACTGGCTGGGCACACTCTATACCTTCCAGTCAAAATAAGCACAGGGTTGGTGCAGTAAATTCTTTGCTACTGCTTGTCCTTAGACCTTCCCTTCAGTGGCTTGTGGGGCACACTCTCCCACCCAGGTTCTCATTTCAGCTCTGACTTTTTGGAGCTGAATTTTCATCATCTCTTAAATTTTTCTGAAAAGACCTACCTCATTTGTCTGCTGAGGTGAACATTGAGATGTCCTCTGTAAAAGTACAAGCAGAGTGACAACTGTGACAACAGTTGCACCATCTGTGTTTGAAGACTTCTTATGGACACTGTACTCAGCACTTTTGCAGAGTGGGCTTCATGATCCTCAGTTTACACATGGAGATGTGGTGGTTAAATCCTGGTGCTCAATTAACATACCAATCCTTTCTTTTTGTTACCTGGATGAAAATAGTACATTTATTAATGTTATTGTTACCACATAATTATAGTTAGCATTGAGGTGCTCCTCAGAGGCACCCCATAATAGGTCACTATCAGAACTGGCGGCACATGAAAAACTTGCTTTGACCTCTCTCTCCCGTGTCTTCTTCCAGAAGGGCAGAGACCATGGAAGACTTGGGGGAAAACACCACTGTCCTCTCAACCCTGAGATCTTTGAACAACTTCATTTCTCAGCGGGTGGAAGGAGGATCCGGACTGGATGTTTCCACTGCCGCCCAAGGCTCTTTGCAGATGCAGTACCAGCAGAGCATTCAGGTTAGTGGTGGTGTTGGGAAGTGCTGACACCTGGCAAGGGTACTTGCCCCTAGGCAGGGCCTGCCTGGCTAAATGTCTGTGGTAGGAGAGAGCCTTTGACACCTGTCCTTAGGAGGGGCCAAAGGACCCTTCAGTTCCAGATAGTTCTGGCAGTCCATGTGTTGAGCTAGGGCCTTTTGCGTGAAGATGTCTGCCCTAAAGTAGGGCTGTTTTGAGTTCCAGAGATTTGAGTCAGGTCAGTGTTGTCTCAGCCAGCCAGCTGTCCACCAGATCTCCAGGGTAGGCACTCATAGGCTGGAGGCAGTGCTATAACTCTGAACTGTCCTGACTTAAAAACCTGATTTCTCAGCACTTCCAAGGTGGACCTGGTGCTCAGCATTGTACTCACATGAATGAACTCACAAATGCACCAGGAAAATCAGTTTAGTCTTTTAATTAAGGACAAAATCATGCCTAGAAGCGTGACCACTGGAATATTCCAGCTAATTGCTCTCTCCTTGATGTGAAGGCTGTGTTGTAAACACTGGGTCCCAATCAGCTTAGTAAGAAAGCTGGGGTGGTGGCAGAGAATTGGGTGTGTGAGGGCCTTACATTATCGGGCCATTTGCAGATCTTGGCTCAGTCTGTTATGGGTGATTTTTAGTTTTACTCTGATTATGGTTTCATTTCACTTTATTTCAAGTTGTAGATAATGCTTAATATAGACATAATGTGAAGGGATCTGGTCTCTTGAGGGATTTAAGTCTTTAAAGAGCTGTTGGGTCATTGCGGCAGGCATCGCTGGGTCCACATGTGATGGGGTGTGGTGCCTGCGGCCTCACTCGGGTTTCTGCCTCTGCTCTAGCATCACACCCCTTCCTGGCTTCTCTGCTCCTTACTTCTTGTCCTGTCATCCTCACGTGCTGCTGGGGCCATTCTCCATTCTGTGGCAGTGTCCTGTGTTCCGGGCCAGGGTTTTGGGTTGCTCTGGGAGCCCTGTTGAGACCCATAAAGTGTTCGGTAAAGCCTTCATTTGCTGAGCAATTGAATTAATATGTTAGTGCTCTGAGTTGCTTACTGCTTTTTTGGGGGGTAGTGGGAGGGAAGGATTGTTTTTCTGAAATTAGGTTTTTTTATATTTATTTTGTTTTGCCCTTAAAATGTTTTTTTAAAAACATGATGATGGTAAAGAGTGTACTGCTTTTGATTCTTATTTATTGGCAAAATAAGTTGTGCAACATTGGTCTAAACTTTTATTATTTTATTGATACAAATAGGAACTTTGGCTAACTGGTGAGAACTATAGAATCTAGAAGTCTGGAGGTCTTCAGTTCTTTCAGCTGGTACTGTAAAGGCTCCCCAGGTGGGATCAGTGAGTGAGCAGTGTAGCGGAACAAGCTGGTTAATCATGCACTGCCAAGACTGACCTGTCCAAGCACTCAGTCTGGAATTATTTCTCTCTCCTGAACTGCCCCAAAGTAGTAGGTGAGGGCACAGAGAACACACAGATCTGGGGGTCTAGAGCAGAGGTCACTATGTCTTTCCCACTAGTTTCCTTGTCCCACTTTTTCTTTGGTAAATCTCCTGTGGGAAGTGTTTACAGCCTGCTCTGCTCTGCATCAGTGTTTGAAATGTAAAAGCAATGTTCCAGCCACCTCCAAATACATCGGTGTTCCAGGAAGATGTGGCCAGTGAGCCCCGTCTCTCGGCCTCCTGATCTCTGTGCAGTGGTGCCCTGAGGTGGGGTCCTGCTGCCTTTTGGAGAAGCTGGAATGTAACTGCCGACACAGAAGTGAGACTAGGGATGTTATTGAGTTTGATGGAGACTAGGAACCACCCACTCCAAATGTCAACAGGTGGGAATTAAAATGAGAGAAAATATCACAGGGATAAAGAGCCTATCACCAAATGTGGCAAGTGGAGTAGAGAAGATGCTTTTTCTATGGCCTGGATGTCTCACCCTTGCCTCTTTGGGGCTGTATAATTATTTTGTAGGACTCTGCAGATATAATTAAATTCTCAGATTGGGTGGAGTGCCTGTGGGTTCTGTCATGTCATGTTCAGAGAGTCAGGGAGGCTGCACAGAAGGGGGTTTCTCAGGTGGTGGTGGAGAGCCCCTCTGGCAAGGACGAGGGCAGCTCCTGGGAGCTGACAGCAGTCCCAGGAGGCCAGAGAAATGGGCCTCGCTCGCACAACCATGCAGTGTGGGGGAGGGTTCCAAGCTCCAGATGTGAAGCAGCTGGCTGACAACGGCGATTTTAGCCTGTGCAACCCTGACCAGAGAATGCATCCACGTGTGGCTGACTCCTCACCTACAGGACTCCAGTGGCTGTGTGGCTCTTTTAAGCTACCAAGTTGGTTGTGATTTGTTACACAGTGTTAGGAAACTAATGTCCACTTTTCCAACACAAATGTAGACACTATCATCCTAAAATATATCCTCCTTGTATCATTTTTTACCTTCCTTTCTTTGCTCGAGGCTGAGTGCAGGCCTTACGGGACAGCTGCTCAGCGAGTGAGTGCGGAACGAGCCAGCTACTGAGTGTTCTCTTTCCTTTGGTCAGCTGGAGGAGCGAGCAGAGCAGATCCGCTCCAAGTCTCACCTCATCCAGGTGGAGCGCGAGAAGATGCAGATGGAGCTGAGCCACAAGAGGGCCCGTGTGGAGCTGGAGCGGGCAGCTAGCACCAGTGCCAGGAGCTATGAGGTGGGTTCAGGAGAGCTGTGTGTGGTATCTGCAGGCCACACAAATTAGAGCCTGCAGCTTGGAGCCTAGGGAATCTACCCCTGGGTTGCAGGGTCTGCTGCTCAGGCTACAGATGCCGACATTGCCTGCACCCTTGAGGGCAGTATGGAGGGGCTGGGCGCCCAGTGCGCTGCTCGTGCTGGCAGCAGCACCCCCAACTCCTTTCTGGGTTTTCTGATTTCCTCCTCCCTCTGGAAGAATTAGGGTGCACATCCAGCAGATTAGGGTGCAATGCCAGATAATAGGGGGATGTTGCTGGGCTACCTAGGGGTCTCAGATCCAGGCTGGGTGTTGCTGAAATGATTGTGGGATTTCAGAGTGAAGAACTTGGGGTTGCTTGACGTTGTTCCTGCCTGTGCAGGGCAGGCTGGGAAAGCATTAGCACCCTACTACCCAGAGATAGTGCTCGGTTTTTCCTTTGCCTTCTTCGCTTTGATGAACAGCACTTTGCCAGATTTCTTAATAAGTGCTGATGAGTTGTGGAAATGCTGCCAAGTGGCAAGCAGAGCGATGGACCAGAAAGCCTCGAGCCTCAGTGCTTTCCCTGAGGGTGGAAATCTGGCCTTGTTCTTGCCTTAGGTGGCATATTCACATGCTCACCTAGTCCCTGTAAAAATAGCTGATGTCTTGGAGGATGTGCTGCTAATTGGATTGCTTGAACCTGGCATGCAGGCTCCCGGGCATGGTGGCTTGTGCAGGCAGGTGCTGCTGCCTTGACCCTGGCGGCGCTCCCAGTGCTGCTGCCTTGACCCTGGCGGCGCTCCCAGTGCTGCTTTCCTGGGGGACGAGGTTTTCCATATGTCTGAGCCTTCTCGGAGGGGCGTTTCTGGGCTAACAGGCAGGCGGCAGGGAGAGGCCGTGGAAGGTTACAGCTGTTGAAGTGCCTTCACTAGGGCCCCCATAACCGGGACCATCCCCCTGTAGGAACTGAGGTGTGGTGGCACTGCCCTGGCTCCTAGGCAGGACTCACAGTATAGAACTATTGGCGCCCCTCTGGGTGAGTCCCTCAGGGCTACTGCCAACTCCAGTGTCCAGCAAAGGCTGTGGCACCTATAAGGGGCCCAGAAAATGTTTGAATAATAAGAGTTGTTGCAGGATCTCTGAAAGTCTTGTTTTGAGGAGTCCAGAGGCGCAGGGCTGCCACGCTTAATCCTTGGGTCCCTCATTGAGCTTGGCCAGCCTGGGTGAAGCCTAGCCCTCCCTGCTCACTGACAGCTGGCTGACCTAGAAGCAGTGATTTTGAAATTGTTCCTTTACGTATTGGACATTTGTAATGGTTTTTCAGGGACTACCATTTTCAGTGGGAAGGATGGGTGAGCGGGCTGTGATTTTTGGCCGCTCTTACCTGCAGGTACTGATTAGATAACGAGACTTGGGTGTCTGGGGAGCTGTCTCGACTGCTTCACCTGCTCTCAGGACTGGCAGCCTCGGTAGGGATGCCGCTTCCTCCCTGACCTGCTGACCAGGACACTGCTCTGACTCACCCTACCTCCTTGTGCCTGTAGCATGGAAGGGTCCCTGTGCAGGACTTCGTGGCTGTTCATAGGTTATAATTGCAGCTCCTTGTCCCTTTGAGTCCCAACTCAGTGTCCCTTCAGGAGGCTGCTACCTAGTGTCAGCTCCTACTAAGCCGGGTGGAAGGGCCCTGTTACAACCACTTACCTGAGTAAGACGGGCCCTGGGAGCACCTGACTGACCTTGGAGGAAGCTACTGCAGCTCAGCTTCCTGAAGAGGCTTCTGGAGGCTCAGCTGTGTCAGGTTCATGTCAGCTGCTGTCGCCGCCCTTACCCCTGACTCAGGCTCCCACTTTGAGGCCTCTTCACTTCTTGGGTTGAGGGTGCCCTCAGTGACCAAGAGCTGACTGTAGGAACCCAGGATCATCAGAGTGAAGAGTCTAAGTTCTCCCCATTTCTTACCCACACAAGCCACACATTCTCCTGAGGGCACAGACACAGACAAACTCCCAAGGTTTGCAGGAAATTAATGTGTCCCATGGCAGATTGGGGCCCTGGGATCAACTGTTCTGTGTGCAGACTCATGTCCACGCCACCTGTCCCTGCTCGCTTGACTGCTGATGTGGGCGGGGGAGCTGAGGTGCGGAATTCCGACTCATGTTAACAACAGCCCTCGTGCGCTCCTACAAAATCTGCTGCTGCTGCAGATGCTCAGAGGTGCCTGTGCAAGGTCAGGTCTGGATTTGAGATTTTCCATGCCTCACCTCCTCCTGCCCCGATGGTCACCCTGAGCAGACAAGTAATGACGGCGTGCAGCGATCTGTGCTGAGCGCTTCTCTGGGCACTCTGGCTCCCGTGTGGGGGTGCTGCTGCAGTGGCCAGAGGACTCGCCCTGGGGCAGGGTCCCAGCACCTGGCTCTCATCCTGCCTTTGACAGCTGCACTGGCTCTTCTCTGGGTCTGGATTGTTTTCCTGGGGGAGAAGTGCCGGGGTTGGGGGAGGGGTTGCCCTTCTCTCTCTCCAAGTCCTTCTGTTTTGGCAGCGTGAGGTTGACCGCAACCAGGAGCTCCTCTCCCGCATTCGGCAGCTCCAGGAGCGGGAGGCCGAGGTGGAGGAGAAGATGAAGGAACAACAGGAGCGTCACAGGTTGTGTAAGCAGAGTCTGGACGCCACCAGCAAGAAGCTGCGGGAGAAGGAGGACGGCCTGGCCGAAGCCGGAGAGGTGAGGGCCCTCCACCCCCAACTGCGGGGCCCTCAGGACTGTCTGCCACCCTTCTCTCGCTCCCTGGGCCATTTGTCCTGGGAAGAGTGGCTGGCCATCTGGACTCCGCCACGGCAGCGCTCCCTCCCCTGTGGGCCCCTGCAGGTTTTGCGTAAATGTTATCATCGTAGTAAAAGGACTAATTTTCCATTTCTAGTTTTCACTTAGTAGATCAGATGCATTTGTAATCTTTGTAATTATGATTTTTAATGGTTGATTAGCCCGTATATTCTTGTTTTCAGTTGTTTTGTTTTTCATTAGCCCCACCCCCACTCCATGTGCTCACACAGATACCAGGCCTTGCTGTTGGGTCTTCTGTTGGGCGGGCCCAGGTGTGACTCGATGGCCTTGCACTGGCTGCCGTGTGTGCTGGCAGTCACGTTGGGCTCTCCAGGCTCGCTGCAGCCTGACCTGTCAGGGATGGTGGTATTTTTGGCAGTACTTGTGTTCTTTCTTTTCAGCAGATGTAAGTAGGTGCCTCTGGATTTGCATATTTTTGATTATTAGCATGGCCCATTGGCTGCTGAGAGCATCTCTAGAACCGGAGCCTGTGTGAACTGTAGTCTTACTCTCTTTGCCAGTGGAAGGTACATGCATTTTAGAAATAGCCCACGCATAGATGCTGGTAGAAACTGGACTCCTCTGACCTTGCCTGTTCCTTTCCTCTGTTGCTCCAAATTACAGGTGCTGAGAGGGAAGCTGGAAACTGCCAGGGAGGAAGCAGGGAGCAGGGAGCGTGGATCATTGGTATTCTCTCTCGGTGTGGCTTTCTCTATTTGATAGATCTTCGGAAGCTGGCTCCAGGTTATTTTTACCTTGGCAGCGCTGGAGAGCATGTTAAGGCTGTTCTGACATCTGTCTTCTGATGTGGATGTTGGCAGGAGAGGAGCCGTGATCAGCCTCAAGACAGAGCCCCCTTTTGCTCTGTGTTTGCCAGAGCTTCCTTCCTGGCCCCAGGGGGACTGTTGGAAGCAGGTGCGGTCCAGGGAGTGCAGTCTGCACTCTCCTCAGTGAAGAGTGAGACCCGTACCACAGAAATTGCAAGCAGTCTGGTGAATGGGCCTAGTCTGGAAAAGGTCTTGGCCAGTGGGATGAGGACATTGAATATTGCTGCTTTTTCTGTCTCCTCTAGGAGACTGTCCCTGGTCACGCAGTCTAATGTCGCAGCATCCCTCCCTGTCTGTTATCTCAGCTCCCTGGCTTGTAACTCATCACTCTGGTCATCTTGACCTGCTTCTGGCCCGTCTTCTCCACGTGTTTGTCTTCGACGGGGCCAGCCATTGTCCCCTGTGTCTAACACAGTGCTTAGTGCCCACTGCATTTTTGAATTCTGTAGGATCTCTCAAAAGATATGTTCATTGTTAAATTTATTTTTTTGCTACTTTATTCTTTTTTTTAATTGCCAGATCGATACCCACTACTGTAATAAGACAAACTGTACAGGTGGGTGGTGTGGGATATGGATGCCCAGTGTTGGTCTCCCTGGGGGGCGTGGGTGATGGTGCTGCCATGTTTAAATGGGCCCTGGGTCAGTGCAGGTCTTCATGGGCAGGTAGGTGAGCACTGTTTGCAGAGGGTGTCCTCATGTGACATCCCTGTGGTGGGCTGTGCTGTCTGTTTCTTGCCCTCTCCATCTGGTTGGCATCTGGCTCAGAGATTAGTATGGCAACATTTCCAAGTGTTGGTCTACCACGGTGCTTCTGAGTGGGTTAGCATCTCCTATGGCCTGAGTGGCATACTGTTCCCAGAAGAGCCTCAGGGAGTTTTCGAAATCACCAGCAAGTTGCCTGGTAAAGGTATAGTTGGAGCTGGGGGTGGTGGTTCTGCTCCCCGATGTCCAGTGGTCTTGCTGTCCTGGAGGTTTTGCTCTTGGACAACCCCTTTCACCCCCTTTCAGACTGCTGTGGGCTGCATGCTTGCAGGCTCTGCTCATCCCATATGGCTGTCATGGCATCATTCTGAGAAATTCAGCCCTCCAGTTCAAGCTTCTTGGTGGGTATCTGGCTGTGGTTCCTAGGCGGCTTCTTCAGGACTTAGATGGTATAGTTGTGCACTGTATGGGGTTAGAGAATTTACTCAGGACTGAGAAACAAAAAATGGAGTGTTCAGGGAGAACCATGCAGAGCACCTCAGGGATGTGGGGGATGGGAAGGGCTATCATCAGGGCATGGGCCACAGAGGCTTCCACGTGCCTCGTATGATGTCTGCACCCATCTTGACTGGTAGCCCTTCATCATGATCCAGTCTCTTCCCATCAGCTTCTGGAAATGTGTGGCAGGGGTTGGATTGAGAAGCGATAGCTTGTCTGTCCTGGTTCATGTGTTCTGAAGGAGCAGATGACCCTACTCTGTCCCTGCCATGGGGAATGGGCAGGCTTTCATGAGGGCATCTCTCTGGCCTGTGCGCTCACTTCCCTTCATGTGCCAGCCGTCTGCAGGGCTGACCTCGCTTGCCCCATGTGCTTTCAGACCATTAGTGCACTGAAGGGGAGGCTCTCAGAGCTGCAGTGGAACGTGATGAACCAGGAGATGCAGGTGAAGCGTCTGGAGTCTGAGAAGCAGGAGCTGAAGGAGCAGCTGGACTTGCAGAACACGTGAGTGTGGTGGGAGGGACCATGGTGCACAGTCCCTACCCCTTGGCCAGGTCACCTTAACCACCTGTTGCCCTGGGTGTCAGGGCAGCCTGAAGCCTGCTCAGGGCAGGAGCGGAGCTGAGAGGGCCTTGCCAGCTGTGTAGGCAATGCCACACAGGACGCCCAGGCTCTTTTCCTGCACCCTCTGAGCCCAAGCACATTCCTTTATGTCCCCTTGCAGCCAGGTGCTATGTGCATTTCGGCTAAGTGCTGTCCTTGTCCACAGGCTGTTAGGGGAGAGAAACTGAGGCCTCTGGAGTGAGGGTGATGAGCCAGAGTAAGAGCAGTGCTGTAGGCGTTCTGAGACAAGAGGGGGGAGCATCTTTTCTTCCCTGCCCAGGGTGGGGATGCCTTCTTAGAGAGCTCCAGGAAAGAATATGTTTGGGCTAGATTCTAAAGACCATGTAGGACATCCCTGGGGTGCCATGTGGTTGGGAAAGGATGTTCCAGGCAGATGGAACATTCTAAGCAAAGGCCTAGAGGATAAAAGAATCCACTGGAGACAAGGTAGGCAGATTTGCATACACTATTGAAGAATTTGGCCTTTACCTTAGCACACATTATCTTAGGATGAATTTTGGTCTCTAGCTAGAGTGGGGGAGTCACCAAGGGGTCTTTGGCTGAGAAGGTACCAGGGCTAGTGGAAGCTGTCATGTGAACAGCATGGGGATGGGGGGGACCACAGGCTGCTGTGTTCAGAGGAGTTGCTGCCCTGTCCAGGGGAGTTGCTGAGGCCACAGAACCGCTGGTAGGGCTAGTGTCCAGGTGTGTATCCATGCTGGAGAGCCCTAGGGAGTGAGGGGGTATTGCTTTTACCACATCCTGCATGTGAAATACTCTTCTCTTGATAGAAAATGGCAGGAAGCCAATCAGAAGATTCAGGAGCTCCAGACCAACCAAGAAGTGAAGGCAGACCAGGAGTTGAGGATTAAGGTGAGTTGCTCCAGTCCAGCCCCTGGCCTTGCCTTGCAGCCATCACAGTGGGGGGCCCAGCTCCCCTGCCTGAGCTGGAGTTGTGCTCAGTGGCCTTCGGGACAGTGAGCAGCGCCTGTTCCCTTATAGCTCTCTGAGGCTGATGAACTATTTCCTCTGTGCGCCAGTCCATGCCAGGGCTTGGGCCCATACTGAGTGAGAGCTGTATTCTCCAAGGAAGATCATGTTCTAGTGGATGAAGACAACAGATGTGTGACAAAAGACAGTAACCGTGCTAGTCCCAAGGAGTGTTGAGAGAGGACAGAGCAGCTCAGGGAGGCTGAACCCGGCCCCTCGGATAGTCAAGCTGCAGGCCTGTCTGGGGTAGGGGGAGGGGACAACTCCCTCCGGGGATGCAGGGTGCAGGCTTTGGGGCCTTTGAGTGACACCCAGCCTCCAGGCCCAGTCTTTGTGCAGCAGCCCATGTTAGCACCTCCTCTCATTCTTTCTGTCTATGTAGCTTTGTGGGGTCTTGAGTACTGTGCTTGTTTTTTATATTATTTATTTTGTTACCTCATTGTTTGTTTCTGTCCATTTGATTGCTCCCCTCAGCCGTTGTTCTCTAGCCACTGTAGCACCTGTGACCCACCAACATAGTCCTCTATGCTCTTCTCTGCTTTCTTTTCACTCCTCGCCTTCCCACTCTCTGCTGGATGCCTCAAGTGGGAGTACCCTGCTCACCGTGCTGTTCTCCCCGGGGCTTTCCGCCCCCTTCTCCTCGCCTCAGCCCTAGGCTGAGGATTTACTTGCATGCCCAACTTCATGCTTTCCCCCCAGACTCCTCGTTCCTCCTTGCTGAGACCCCATCTGTTGTCCTGTCACTCTGCCCCTGCAACTGACCCAGTGCCCTGCACAGAGATGGGTGGTCAGTGTTGCTCAGTGACGGGCAGAGCTGCTCCTGGTTTCATACTCTGAGCTGTTCTCTGAAGGTATCTCCCATTGTATCCCAAGGAGACTAGACACTGTGTCACCATAAGGAGACAGTTTTCAGTGCTGTTAGGACTAAGAGCACATCTGGCACTGAGGCGGGGATGTTTTCGCTGGCCCTGTGTTCAGGGAGCCTTAGCTGAGTGTCCTTGGGCAGATGTGTGCGAGGGCAGCACAGTGTGACAGTGAGAGGTGCCCGTGGCCGCTGAGGGTGCCCTGGCAGTGTAGGCTGAGGACACAGCAGAGACACACTGATGCATCCAGTGTGGGGTTTCCTGGAAGAGGGCATGCAGGGCCTGGGTTGCCTCATCCTGCATCTGTGTCCCCAGAGGGAGTCATCCCCTCCCTGCACCCCAGACAGGCCTGCAGCTTGGCTATCCGAGGGGCCGAGTTCAGCCTCCCTGAGCTGCTCTGTCCTATCTCAACACTCCTCAGGACGTGGGACTAGCACGGTTACTGTCTGTCACACATCTGGTGTGTGTCACGTGTCCTGACCCAGGAGAGTGGGTTGCCTCAGAGAACTTTGTCGCCAGTGACTTTCTCCTCTGCCCTTCCTCATGCAGGATTTGGAGCAGAAGCTGTCCCTGCAGGAGCAGGATGCTGCCATTGTGAGGAACATGAAGTCTGAGCTCGTGCGGCTGCCCAAGATGGAGCGGGAGTTGAAGCAGCTGAGGGAGGAGAACTCCTACCTGCGGTGAGGTGGGGTGGGCGGGGGGCTTGACTTCTCACTCCTGGGCACAGCCCCAGGACGCGTGGCCATTTGAGTGACTGTTTGTGGTCCTTCAGGGAGACTCACGAGACCAATGGGCTGCTCCGCGAGGAACTAGAGGGGCTGCAGCGGAGGCTGGGGCGTCAGGAGAAGATGCAGGAGAATCTGGTTGACCTGGAGCTGGAGAGGGAGGTGAGGCCGACATGTCTCTTTCCTGTGGGCTGACCTCTGTGTCGAGAAGTTTCAGGCCAGTTTCTCGTCTGGACTGTGGTAGCCACTGTGTGGCTATGGTGGCGGCATAGTGACCTGGAGGTGGCAGGCCTCATCCTCAGAACTAGCGCTGCCACTTGACATGACAGAGGGGAGTCAGAGACTGGCCTGTGCTAGAGAGACCCCCGGGTATCCAGACAGGCTGTTAAGGGGGCCATCGTCCTTACATGCACAAGGCCGGGAGGAGGCATCAGGGCGTGTAGGTTAGTGGCACTGCTGAGGGAGGAGGGGCTGAGCCAAGGCCTGTGGACACCTCTGGAGTCTGGAAAGGGCCAGGAAATAGATTTCCCCCTGGATCCTCCAGAGGAACCAGCTCTGCTGAGTGAGACCCTTGCTGGGCTCATCACCTCAAGAGCTGCGAGGTAGTGAATTTGTGTGGTTGGCATCCTCTCAGCAGTCACATGGAGGGTGAGTCAGAGAGGGGCCCCCCTGGGGTAGTGCCCACCCACAGATGTAAAGGGACACCTGTGTCTGCTGTTGGGACTCACAGTGCACTTTGTGAGATACCATCTGGCTGAAAGCATCCCCCTGGCCGCTGGCAGACGAGACAAGAGCTGATCTGGTGCAGAGCACTCTCTCTCGCCCAGAGTGCACGGTGGGGGCCAGGAGTGGTTCCTCCCAGCTCCTGGTCCAGAGTCTGTGTTGTGCATGGCTGCCCACCCTCTGCCAGCCAGTCTCCACTTCCCCGGCTTCCGAGCTGCTAGGAGTGAGAGTCACTGATAGTTCTGTGCCTTTACGGTGTGGGAGGTGCCCGAGCCTGTCTGTGGCTGAGCCTGAGCAGTGAGCTTCGCCCAGGAGGAGGCTTGCGGCCAACCTTCACCTGTGGTAAAGCAGGGCTCCTTTTGTGTGTGCTGGCTCAGGTGGGTGCTTACTTGAAAGGCAACTCTGCCTTTGCAGTGTTTTCTCTGAACGTAGTATATTTGCATTTGGTTAGTATTTTGTCTATTTAATCACACTGAGTATTTTCAGATCTTGTTGTGGCTGCCTGATGGCTGTGACCCTGGGAAGTTACCCTCTCTGTCATCTGTATAGTGGGGAATAATATTGCCTGCCTCTTAGGGTAGTGAGGTTAGATGAATTTCAGTGATGTACTTAAGCGGCACTTGGCATGTCATAAGTATTCACTAAGCACAGACTTTAATACTGATAAGATCACAAGTGAGCTTAGGAACGGTTAAAGGAACACACGAGGATAGGACTGTGCCTGGCCCTGGGCCATGATGACAGGGGCCAGACAAAGGCATAGAGGCCTTGTCTGCACATGGTTTACCTTAATCTAGAAGGGGAGGGGACTGCAGGGCTTTTGGAACAGTGGTCAGTTGGAGCAGATGGAGAGCACCAGGGGGGGTGGCTTGCTTGTAGTGCTGGGTGGGGGTCAAGGACTGGGGTCCCTTCATCTCTGGGGTCATGGCGCCTGGGCAGCTGTGTCAGAGGGGGGCTCCCTTTGCCCTAGGGCTGCGCATACTGGGGAGCACCTGGAACTGGAGGAACAGTGAGGCCGTGTGGCCCTAATGCCCAGCTTCTGTCCCCCCCTCAACCCCCCCACTTCCTTTTCCTGCTGGCATCTTTACTGCAGCTAGGGAACAGGGAATGAATTACACATGGAGCTTAACTTAAGCAACTGTGACCTGTCTTCTTTAGAGCACACTGGGAGAATTTGCATTCCAGTGCAGAGAAAAGGGTGAGGACGACACAACGTCCTTTGTTCACTGTGGGTTCTACCTGGTGCATTTGGTCTGGGGTGATCCTCATGGTGGGTGAGGTGAACGTGACTAGGTGTGAAAGGACAGCAGGTGGGTCATGCAGTCCTTGGACAAGAGATGACAGGGCCGGGTGCTCTAATGATCTATCCTGTTCCAGAGACTGCTGGCAAAGCTGCAGAGCTGGGAGAAACTGGACCAGACCACCGGCTTGAGCATCAGGTAGGCAGGGGTGCTGGGCCTTTGTGTCCCATCTTCCACGGTTTACCTTCTGCAGAGGGGCCTTGCCTCCCCAGGGCCCTCCAGTGGAGGTTGTCTGTAGCAGACCGGGACGCATTTGCCACATGTTGCTTAGTTTTCTCGAGATCCTTCCATAGTGGGAAGGAAAGGAGCTACGTCACTTGCCCTGCCAGAGTCTTAATGACGCCTTCATTTAAAATTGGGACATTTGTAGCAAAGTGATGGCAGGGATTTCATTGCCCTACATCACTGGTCTTTGCTAAAGGACTCTTGCATACACTGAGGAATAATTGCTTTAGGGCACTGTCATTCCTTTTAAGTGGACTTGGAGACGAACTGAGTTTTTAAGGGTGAAAAGAGAACGCAGTAACGGAGCACTGTGGACCCACAGCAGCCTTCTTAGTCGGTCTGTTGGTGGAGCTGCTGGACAGCCACCAGTGCAGGCTGAGGGCTGGGCTGACCATCCTGCTCTCTGATGTGAAGGACAGGCCATAGTCACCTTGCCACCTGCTGCTTGTCTTTCTGGGGACCTCTGCTGCTCATTCTCTGGTGTTGCTTTCCAGTCACCTGCCCTTCACTCCCCAGACTCCCCCGAGCCCCTGTAGACTGACTTATCCAGCAGCTTTGGTGGACTGCCCTCCCTGTTTTGTGTTCCATTATTCCCATTGTGGTGTGTGGAAGACTGATCGTTGCTGATGGAGCTTGGGGAGCCCTGGTGTTTAAGGGGTCTTTGTCATAGCTGCTGTGTGACTTCAAGACTCTATCTTCTTTCCTGCTGCTCTCAGAAACTAGGCTGAGATTGAGACTCTTCAGTAAGAGTGGTAATTTCTGGTTCTGGACCCAGGCTGTTGTGATCAGTTGACTTTCCAGTTGACTTTCACTTGAGAATGCCTCCTCATTTTCTTTCTGCCTCACACAGTCACAGAGGACAGAAGTCTGCTCTTTCCTCTTGAACTCCACCTGCAGGACCCGGATTCATGTAGGGCTGGCCACAGCGGGGCCTGAATGCTTTGTGCTTCTTTTTGTTCTCTGGGCTTATTAACTAACCAGAAAACTTCCTTCTGCTTCCAGGGAGATAACTCATCACAAGGGAACCCTCTATGGCTTCTATGGGAGATGCCCATGGATGTTGATCAGGCTAGCCTGCTGGCGTGTTAGCATGCCCTGCCTGTGCATAGGGCATCAGTCAAGCCAGCAGCTGCCCCTTGACCTCACTTTGGTGTCCCGGGAAACCTGGGGACCCTACACAAGCACAGCCAGTGTGTGGGCAAATGAAGTTTGCAAGTGATTGCCAGCCAACTGGGGCACCTGCTCTTGGATCTGGGGGGCTGGGGGGTGTCAGTTGTTTGTGCATGTGTGTTCATGTACCTGCCTCATAATGCCAGATGCCGAGTGAGGGAGAAGAAGCAGATGGCCCAGAGGGCTGGCAGATATGGGAATCTGCCTGTGTTCTCTGTCAGCTTAGGACTGGAACAGAGGGCCACATGGTGGGAAATGAGTGGGACAGTGATGGTAGGGTCTTGTCTGCTTTCCCACTGACCTGCAGAGCCGTTTTCTGCCTGCCACGTGCCCTGGGCCCCTTTTTTTGCTCTGGGAAGGAGTACAGTGCTTTCCTCACGCTCGTGAGAGTTCTATTTGGTTGCCTGCTGAAGAAGTGTCTTGAAACTGCAGGTTGGTGCTGGGGGTCTGAACAGCCAGAGGCTGACTTCTAGATAGGCAGGTAATGCATCATGGTCACCTTGATCCTGATCACCTAGATCTCACCATGGCCTTTAACAAGGGCAGGTTTTCTTTCATGTGCTTGAGGTCTGTTGTTCCTGGGTCACTTCTGGGGGCACTTTGGACATCTCAGCTCTTCTTTGTCAGCCCTGCTTGAGTGTTTTTGGGCAGGCTTTCACTTCAGGGCTCTGGCCTCACTTAATAGGTACAAGTGTCCTGTCAGGAGATTGCCTGGGCTCCCAGGGAAACCCAAGTCCTCTAGGTAGCTTCTCTATAAGAGTTACACACCGAATCTTCACATGACCTTGACTACAGTGGGGAGCTTGACTATCTTTTTTGCCAGATTTGGGCATAATAGTGATTTCTGAGTGGGGATGTAGTGATTTCTGAGTGGGGATGTGGGGCACAGGAGTGAGGTGGGGCCTGCAGGAGGGCGTGAGACAGAGAAGCGGGCGGTAGGAAGCCATGGAAGGTGGTGCTCCTATGGAGCAGCTTTCTGGAAGGTGGAGGTTGGGGTCTGCTGGAAGTGTCTAGAATGGACACCCTTCATCAGTCTTGGTGACAGAAAGACTTGTATAATATTGGTTTCTTGCCATGGGGTCATGGAGGTCACTGAGAATCTGATGAAAGCAGACTTTATCTCCATGAAAATGCACATTTTTGAGCCGGTAACATGTAGACAGAGCTTTGCACGTTCATTCAGTCACTCCTTTCCCAGTGAAGCTTGATCAGCCAGGTTTGCAGCAAATGAAGTTGAAGTACAATAGATGTCCTGGAAGCTGAAGTTCAGGGGACTGGAAGGATGTTTTAGCCTGGTTTGGTAGACTTGAAATGGCCGTAATCTTGGGACTGAGGCCACTCACGAGGGGCAGGACCTGTGGCCGTTGTCGCCTGGGTTTCCAAGAGCTGCCGCCACTAGGTGGCACCCCTGCCCCCTTGGTTAGCTTGGCTCCTGTGACCTTGAGCTGCTGGTTCCTTGGTGCTGCAGTGTCCACTGGGTTTCTGGTTTTAGGCATGCTGCTCACAGTACTTCTTTGCCCGTTGTGTTTGTCCCACAAGTGCTTCCTAGTCTAAAACCAGGGTTTGGTTGAGAAAGGGTTCTGAGTGATGTCTTTACAGTTCCTGCTCGCCTTTGGGTGGCCATTATCTCCCATACCTACCATCTTTGATTATCCTCTTTAAGAGCCTCAAACCCCTACAGTCTTTGAGCTTTTGCTGTTTTAGCTCAAATATTCTCCACATGGGGGAAGGGGCTGTGACTTTTCTGATTCTCAGAGGGATCTGTGATCTAGTACAGGGTAAGGAGTAGAGGTCTGGTTTAATACCTGGAAAGACCAAAACCCCTGAAGAGTCACCTCCTCTTCCAGATTTGGGGTATCTTATCTTCTGAGGAATTCAGAGATATTTAGGAGAGTGGGGTGGGCAAGTTGCTGGGGTGGGTCAACCCTTGTAAATCTATAGGGAAGCTCTTTAGAGCCAAGTTTCCCTCTCTGCCAGGCAAGCTTGTCCACCCTTGATATTGCCTAATTGCTTGTCTCCAGCACACAGGTTCTGGAAGGTGGGAGGCAGTTGGGCTTCATGACTTCATGAGTCCTGGGAAGAGGGAGGTATGCTGTGCCAGGGACGTAGGCCTGGGTCATCGTGGGGACTTTGGGTGCTTGTGGCCAATAATGATGTTAGGGGGAGAACAGGTGAGTTTGGTATTTGCACATCCTTAGCCTTAGCGCTCTGCAAACTGGAGTAAGGTGTACACCAGGAAGCACCTTTTGAGGGGTCTGTATCAACCTAGGCAGGATGACCGTGGCAGTGAAGAAAGAGTAACAAATGGAGTGGAAGTGAATTCCTCTCAGGAACCCAGGGATGCTTGATTTGGGAAGTGAATAAATGGAATTGACAAAGGGAAAAATCAGATCACCTCGGTAGAGGCAGAAGTGTTTGTTGAAATTCCATACATATTCATAATTAGAAGCTCTCAAGAAACCCACACAGAAGGGGACAGAAGAAGGGTGACAACAAGCCCTATGACTGGTGCAGGATGGTGTCACCATCTGTGCTCACCAACACCGTCCACTGTGCTTGAGAGCCTGTTGTATGATGAGTAAGAAAATAGAAAGCATCCAGACTGGGAAGGAAGAATATTGTATTTTAAGATAACGTAGCTATCTTTAAGAAAATTCCCAAGGAATCTGTAAGAAGTTAGGGGAACTAATAGGCAAGTCTAACAGGCCCATAGAACTCAAGTGCATTTTGGTATACTAGCAAGGAGCCATGGGAAGGACATAGCACTTACAGGAGCATCAAAAAACATCCAATAGATGTGTGAGATGTATATGCCCCAAAATGCAAAATGTTGCCGAGACAAATTAAGGATAACCTAGTGCAAATAAGTGGAGATGTATACTGTGTTCATGCAGTGGAAGACTCAATATTTTTAAGATGTCAACTTGATAAAAATTAATCCTTGTGTCAGTGTAATATCAATCAGAGTTCTTGCAGATGTTTTTTTTAGCAGTAATCAGCAAACTGATTCTAAAATTCCTATAAAAGTGGGAAGGACCTAGGTTAGCTATCTTGAAATTGAGCCAGTTAAATTGCTGTGACTGATTCCCAAGAATCAAGTAAGTGTGTTGTGTGTTAATGTTAAGGATTGACATGTAAATCAGAGAAAGTTCAGGAATAAAACCAGAATATTGAGACAGTTGATTTTTGTCAAGGTGACAGGATAATTTGATGTCAGTGAGTCTTTTCGGTAAGTAGTATGATGCTGAAACGGTGGGTCATCTGTATGGGCGGTATAGAAACTGGTGTGCACAGGCTGTAACTCAATGGAGCGTGCACCTCAGTGTAAAAATGAAACCTCTGGGAGTTTAGTTTGTATTTGGCAGAGTCCTTAGAACACAAAAGGCATAAACCATAAGTGAAAAAAATAGGTAAGTTAGATAAATAAAAACTTTTGCTCTCAAAAGACACAAGAAAGAGAAAAGACAAACCTTGACTAGGGGAAAATATTTGCAATACATACAAGAGTGAGGACTTATCTCCAGAATAGATGACAAATTCTTCCAAATCAATACAATGACCAGATTTATAAAAAATCTCGGCGTGAGAACTACCTGGATACACGCCCCTGTGTAAGTCATACCTCAGTCATCCTGTCTGAGAACAGTCAGTGAGCAGGAGGGATTGGCTGTGAGGGCAGATAATTTTATAAGACTTTGAGCAGATAATTTTATAAGAGAAGATATACAAGTGGAAGGAAAGAC